TCTCCTCTAGTTTCCAATAAAAGTTATTAAATAAATTGATAGCATACGACTTTAAATAAATTTCGCTATCAGCAAGCCAGCAAGTGAAATTAATTTTTAACATTTTTAAAATCAACGTTTATTATTTTCCATTATTATTTATGAGTTGCATGCACAACGAACAAGAAAAAGAAAGCAACACAAAAATATAGCATACTTTTATGGGCAGCAAGCACACTTTGCCTGTCTGCGCGCAAAACTCGCTTTTATTGTGCATACAAATACACACACACATACACACGTACACCGTTATGCAAATTGCTTGGCAAAAATATATAAATATATGCATACATCTACGTATGCAGAGTCAAGCAGCGAACGCAGCTGTAAAGCTGTGTTGTAACCAAAAAGTTACTGCAATCGTACAAATCAAATCATAACTGATTTGCATACATACGACCAACTTGTGTGTGTGTGTGTGTATATTTAGGATTGTGTGTGTGTGTGTGCACTATATCAATTACATTACATACATCGCAGTAGATGTTACTATATTACAAATACTGCATATGGTGTTTCGTAGTGTGCCAAATCTTTGACTAATTTCATCACGTAGCGGCTCCATGCAGCCGCTGACCCCAAGTCTGTAGTGAAAGTGTATTAAAATTGCTCGTCAAATCCTTAACAGCTGACCCCCCCCCTTCTCACCCATCGGTCCACCAGGCATTGACCACTTTACGTTGGGTCATTTTGACGGCATGTGCTGCTGCGATTGCGAAACGAAATTGTGGCTGTAGTGAGTGCGCTTAGGAATCCATAAAATATTTATGTTTCCAGTCCAATTGAGGGCCAATGCCGAAGGCATTATTTGAACCCCAATACGTACCGACTAAGTGAGATCTTTGCTTATGGGGCACAGAGAGTTTCATGGAGTTGCTGGCTAGCTGATTCATGCAAAGCAAACAAAGTTGATTATGTTGTGCATGGTCGTTGTGTTTACACTGACCACCAGGCATCAACAATGCACCCTTCAATTACAGCGAACAAAAGCTGAGCTGAGAAAATGGAAATTAGTTTGATGTAAAGAAAAGATTTTGTTACTGGCCAAGCAATGAAAACTAATATGCAACTTTGAAAATCAATTTGTGCATAAAATGACTTTGATGCTCAAACAGTTTAAGCATTGTTTGCCCAACTAATCGGCTTGGCATATAGCAATGGCTAAATCACCATAAGAAATAATACTTTCGATGCAGTTAAGGCTGACAAATCCGATGGATACTTGTGCATGATAAAGTTAATGTTAATGCCGTGCATGTGCTTTTTGGCATATATTCAATGCTTAGCTTTGCAAAATCTGTCCCGTTTCAATGTGGCACAGTGCCAAACACAAAAATCAACAGTGGCCCCCTGGGTCATTTGGGGGCCACTAAAACGTGCGCGTCGATTCGTTGAAACAAATTATTTATATATTTTTATTACATACTTCGTATACGGCATACTGCCCACACTTTGAGACCGAGTCGAGACTTTGTTGCTTTGTTTATCCTCGGAGCAGTTCAATGGCACATGAAATTATGATAGTTACTCGGTGTTTGGTGTTTTGGTATTTGAAGCCGTAAATCTCGCTGCCACAATGTCTGCTTGATTTGCCAAATATAAAGGCAATTCTTCTGACCGTCCATTAACTTTTATGTGTGTGTGTGTGACTTAGGGTGTCTTTGTGTGTGTATGTAGTATATTTTTGAAAATAGAATTTCACTTATTTGTCTCCCGGTCAATGACTGCGGCCAGTCCAAAAGATTTTTCCACTTCTTTGTTCTCAGCTGTCTGTCCTCAGACAAAATATGAACCCATTGCAACGATTGTCCTAAAGCTATGACATATTGTGAATGGGCTAGACACAGAGTAAGATTCTCTTTTAAGATTAGAATTGTCATATATACTTTCAATTGCCTGCAGCTAAAAATAACTATTAATTCATAAGTTCAAATTACAATCGATTAAAGAGCCTTAACTTATGTGATTTTCTCATATTTTTCTTTTAAACATACAAAAATGACAACATTTTAATTGATTTATTGCACAATCGTTCAATTTGGGCCAAGCGTGATGGCATGTTGCATGGAACAATTTGGTCACAAAAGTCGCCACACGCATCATTACCAAAATATTGAATTTTGCAATACTATTTTGCAGCATCTCGCTTCACCTATTCGCCTGTCACACTGTCACGCCCCCATCGCCGGCCCTCCATCTCCTGCGCCCATTACGTGCATGTTTGGCATGCAAAATCCACACGGCAAATCACACGCATACTGGCAAGGGCTGAAGTGGGGGCAAGCGAGCTAAGAGTGGCTTGGCTGAGTAACGGGATTCGCATCAATTCGCCACATAGCTTGGTGTCCCGGTCACGAATTTAACCTCCCGTCCAACTGTCCGTCCCCTCAGTTCATTTGTCCAATTCGTTCTGTGCATGTGCATGTCAAAGTAATGGACGAAAACGAAATTCTGACGCAGGCAGCCAAAAACAGGGAAACCGCCCAACCACCGAGTGTCGACAGTCGGTTGGTGGCATTGTGGGGAGGAGGGGCACGGGAACGGACGGAAAAGGGTGTCTGCGGTGTCTGTAGAGCTGAAAGTGAGTGGCAAATGGATTTACCCCAGTCAAAAGTGGGCCCGATGGGGCAACATATATTCCTCAATCTACATATATACATATATAAATAAATATATAATATATATATATGTTATATATATGTGCTACAGCATGTGTGCGAACTATGCTTATCTACTTAATGCCTTAGGCCTTGTGCTACTCAGTTGGCTTTCTGGCACAGCCCGTTTAAACTTTTGACTTTCAATAAAAAGGTTAAAATTCGTTCCATTTGCATTTCAGCTGCTCGCTCAGTTGCTTCTAGCGAACTGTGTAGTTTTCACCTGCCTCTAATTAAGTCTTGCATTTGACTCGCCCTGCATGCCGCTAATTGAGTTGTGACTTGCAACACGCCCCCACCCACAATCCGCCTCAAGTGACTCCTGCGTTCGCAGCGCTGCTTTTTCTCTATCTCCATTTCCCCATTTATGAAAAATACTTTTTGTAATTAAATAATAATCTTATGCCTTGTCTCTTTATGGTCATGTCTAGATAAGGAAGCCCTTCTCCTCCTCCTCCTCACTTACCTTGCTTACTTCCTTACTTTCCAAGTTGTGGCAGCTGCTTTTCCCCAAAGAATGTGTGCACCACGTCATAGATATTGTTTCGTATTCACATTTCAGGTGTGTCTCCTGACTGTGCATTGTTTCAGTTGCTGTTTCAGCATTTTTGTTCGTGTGCCAACTGATTTTTCAGAAGCAGCAAAGCAGTTGGTTGTTGAGTTTAACAAATTTAAATTTAGGATTTGAAATGCTTGCATTGTGATTTACTGTTGTATAAAAAGCATGTTCCAGTTAGATTAATTTTGTTTGATTCTAATCAAATAGTATTTGAGCATATTTTGAGCGCTTTAAGAAAATAATTCCTCAAACATTATAAATTTAACATTTACGTACAAAAATAAAATAAATCAAATATTCTATAGCTGTTTCATTTTAATTTGGGAATTCAAAAGGAAATATTTTTGGCTTTGTAGCAATATACGAGTCTCGGTTTTATTTTACCTTTATTCCAAGCAATCCCTTTTACTGGATGCTGCATGACTGCACCTTGATTTGTCAGCAGATTCTGTGTTGCTTAAAAAATACATGTATATGAGCACCTGAATATTTTATTTATTTATTTTCTAATATGTATTTGAGCATTTGAATATTTTATTTCATTTTTTTTGTGTTGATAAACAAATTTTATACTCAACATTTTCAATTTTGTTATATGGTGTTATTGGGTGTTTCAGCAAAGCAAAGCAAAGCATTGTAATAAACTTGTCCAGTTTCCTTTTTCAGTGCAAATGGAGTTAGGCACTGCCCCTAAATTCCATTTGATTGCCATCAGTGGCTATCAAATGCTGTGCGTGTTGCAGTTCCTATTTGCATATCACGCATACACTTGGCTCGCACTCGAGCATGACTTTAGTTGACTCGGTGGCAGGTAAAAATATTTAGAAGCTGCCTAAAGGCAAATATTTGAGCTGCTGCTTGATTGGCCAAAGGGCAACAAAATGTTGCAAAATGCAAGCAAATGCCACGTTCATTGCCTAAATCGATTATGGCAATTATTTCGGCTCGAAAACAAACACAGCAATAATTGAATTTAACTATAAGCCTATAAGCCCACTAGCTCCTACGAATTAACCCCTTTCGAAATGTTCTCATCAAAAGTATGCAAGTACATGTAATGTGTGGCCAGCACACACACACTCTCTCTATCTCTCAGACACTCATACAATCATATATAGGCATTGGGCGACACACTCAACGAACATGGTCGTTGTTGTGTTCGAAGCCAAAATAGGTGCCCCCAACCTGCCCCGGCTCGGAGGGGCAGCAGTAGCGATAGTATTGATAAATCGAATGGGATAACATTACTTGTGGCATAACTCATGCGATTAGAAATTCAGTGCTATTAGCATGCAGAGCCGATTGTATCCGATTAAAGCTCTAATCACATAAGCTGAACACAAGTATAAATTAAGATTGTGCTTGCAGTGCAGTTATGAACAGTGAAAATAAGCCTTTGGTTACAATTTTAGCTTAAAAATTGAACTGATTCAATTCAGCTTTTACAATTGTCAGTCCTGCAGCTTTTGTGTACTGGGCTTAAGCTCATTTGTGACTTTAATTAACTTTCTAAGCACTAATATCGAATCTCAAACTCAAGATGTTTACTTAATTTTTTTCAAGGCATATATATATATATATAAATATATTATTTAAATAGCTTGGCGCAACTAATAAACTGCCTCCAACAGACTCTATTCTGTGTTTACCCCTTGGGTCTCTCACATTTGCCGATTAATTTTGCGAAGCACTGTGTATCTATAATCCATTTGAAATGTATTGTATTTATTGTATTGTATTTGCAGGAAGCTTATCGCCGCTGGGTCTGCAGCACACTGGTGCCGTATTATGCCGAGCCCCAGGATGTTGATGCAACGCCAGCCGATGACCTCGCCGCACGAGGGGCAGCCTCTGCTCCAAAGCCAGCAGCGGCCGCTAGCAAAAGTAAACGCGCTGCGCGAAATAATGCAGGCACCGAAGGTGGGGTTGGGGTTGGGGTTGGGGGTGTGGGTGGGAGTGAAGCTGTTGGTGGCACGGCTGATGGTACGGGTGGCATCAAGCATAAATCTCAGAAATTAATCAGCAATAACAATAAATCAAATAACGGCAATAACATGAACGAGCGCCAGATTAATCAACAGCATGACGAGAACAATGTGCCCCACCACAATGAGCCACAAAACAAAAATCCAAATGCCAGTGCGAATCGGAATGTTGCGAATGTGGCTCAGGCGTTCTACGATGCCGTTGGCATTGGCCAGCATCAATCCCCAATCCAAACGCAAAACCAATTCCACTCTCAATTCCATGTGAATGCCCAACCCCACAGCAGCAACAGCAACAGCAACAGAAATAACAACAGCAGAGGAGCAAGTGCCCAGCAACAATTCAATAATTTCATATCGACTGCCAATAATGCGGATCCCAGCGCAGCGGATCCAGTGATATCAAAACTACAAAAGAGGTAACAGTATTAATTCGATGAGAATTGAATGCGTTTTTATTTGTTTTTCATGTGGAACTCTTTTCTGTCCATAGATCAACACGCAAGGCAGAGTTCCGTAAGCGCCGACGCATTCGACCCTGCCTGAGTGTGTGCCAAACAGTGGAACAAAAGTGCCCCTATCTGCTGCCCGCCGATCGCGCCCCAGCGCTGCCCACCCAATATGCCGGCGAGCCGACATTTGTATGCCTAGGTGAGTGGCACTCGAAACCGATACAGTCTCGGATTAGATTAATATTGGTAGACCACTAATGAAGCAAAAACCAATGCGAATAAAATGGCATCAGTTAGCAACAACAACGTTAAATGTTATTCTTAAACTTATAATATTTTATCCAAATTTCACGTTGCAGATCAAAACATACCCGAGACCGGCGAGCAGCTGAAGAAGTCCAGCTATGGCCCCAATGACTGCTGCTACAGTTACTGCAATGGCCCCATTGACGGCATCTGCACCATCTGCCAAGAGTTTGCAACCACAGCCGCGGGCAACAGCAGCAGCAACAACAGCAGCTCGACTGGTCGCCGGGTGCACAACATAACGCTGACAATGAGCTCGCCGCCGGGGGAACATGCGCGTGCTGCCAGCGTGTCGGTGGCGCTGCGGAACGTCAGCCAAGCGTTGACGGCCGGGGCCGAGTTGTTGGAGCGTCTGCCATATTATGCGCGCCACGACAGCGTCTACTACTACGACGATGATGAGGGCAGCGATATGCCGGAATTGGCGCTGTCTGGCGGCTGTGCGCCGGTGCCATCGGTGAGCACACGCTGTGAGATACCATATTTTGCGTCCGGTGTGGCGCCGTCGCCGCCAACGCAGCTGCTCGTCTTTCTGAGCGCCCTGCTCGGTCTGTTGAGCAGCTGTGGGGCGGCGCGACAGCGCTGCGGGCGCACCCGCAACACAACTGCCCGTGTCGATTGTCCGGCCAGCTGCCACGAACTGTTGGCCAGCTCGAGTTCGAGTCCGCGTCCGAATCCGAGTTCAAGTCAGAGTCATCGAGCGCAACAAGGCGCCGACAGCTGGCGAGACAGCAGCGGCAGCGGAAGTGGAAGCGGAAACGGAATTGCAAGCTACACTGCCAGCCAGCGACCGGAACAGGAACAGGACAGAGCGTGGGCATGGGCATGGGCGTGGGCGTTGGCGTGGGCATGGCTATGGGCGTGGCCATTGAATACGTTTAGGAAAGTGCGATACTTTTGGAACAGCAGCAGTCGCAGTAAATTAAAATGCAAGCGAGATACGATGATGATGATGCGAAGGTGGTCTAAAGATCGTTGTCGCTGTCGTATAATTAACTATAGAGACTTACAGCAACTACAAATACGAATCAAGTGCAGCGATAGGAATAGGAATGCTAGAAACTATCGTTACTTCTACTACTACAACTACAACATAAACGATTGGTGGCGAAGATGGAAGTGGCTCGTTGGCAGTGCGGCAACCATCATCTCAAATGGCGCCTTATAGTGCATGCAATTCGTATGCGGCCACACACACACACACATCCACATACACATACACCCACACAGAGACATTCACACACTGATTGCAGATTTCTTTACAGAGATTTGCAGTTGAAAAACAAACACAAGAAACAACAAGAACAACAAAATGTCATTAATTGTATTTCGTACTCTAGAAAATTACTCGTAATGCTAGCTAATTAAAAACGAAAACAAAAAGAAGAAAAAAACACACACACACACAAAAAAACGTTGAGTGTAAAAAAATAAATAAAGTAATAAAGAAATTGCAGGTCGTTCTTCTGCAATTTTTTGGAGCCAAGCCGTAAAAAAAAGAAACGAAAATTAAATGAGAAACGATAAATGAAATGGAAAAGTAGGGAGAAGAAATGGAAAAAAAAAACACTTTAAATATTTATGGTCCTCTTTCAAGTGAAATATAAATAACAAAAGAAACCAAATATAAGAGTAAATAAATTATAAATCTCTATTAAAACCTAAAAAAAAAAAAACGACAACAAATAGCATATTTTATTACAACTAGAAACAAATATTAATATTTAATTAAACAAAAAACAACTGCCACAAAAATAGGTTTTTTAGGTAAACATTAAACAAAAACAAAAAACGAAAATAAACAAATAAACAAATACCAAAAACCACAAACAAGAAGATTTAACGAAAATGTATGTGTGAAAAAGATACATAAGCACATACATATAGTTATTAACTTAAATAAAGGCGGACAAAAAACGAGAACATTTTAGGTTAGCTAAGTATAACGAAAAACCAACAGCAAAAAACAACAAACACAAACACGTCATGAAATTCACAACCAGACTAAAGAAATTTCAATAAACGAAAATGATAAAAAAAATCACACACACACAACTTGCTGCAAACCGAAATAAAATAAACAATTAGTCGAAAATTCCCTGATAATAATATGAAACCCCCCACACACATACACTCCCTCACACACACACACACACACACTTTTCACTATACAAATTGACATATAGACCGCTTATCAAATCAATTTCAAGACATTGAAAACCAAAATAACTGGAAATCCCAACAAAAAAAAAAAAGAAGAAAGAAACCCAAAAATGTAACATGAAAAACTTTACTTAATGCATAAATTAGTTTAAAAACAAATCAAATATTATAACATAGTCACAAAACAGGAGGCGATTTGATAGAATGAGTAAAATAATAACATAAACAGGAAGTAAATGAAGTAAATGAGGAAGAACAAGTAACAACCAAAAATGTGTCTAAGATTGTCTTTATTTAGTTTTTAAAAATGAACTTTGTATAACCAACAAAAAACATAACAAAACCAAAAAAAAAAAACAAAATAAAACAATATAAAGCGCACAGTAAACTTAAATTATAAGGTTCATAAACAAAATAGAAATGAAATATGAAGAAGAAGAAGACGATGAAGAAGCAGAGTATGAAGAAGATGAAGAAGAAGCAGCATATGCATACGATTATAGTCGAGGTTAGGCATGGCGCATCTAAAGTAATGCCTAGGTATACATTTAGATAACAAAACGTGCAACGCAACATAACAAGAATAAGAAGAAGAAGAAGAAGACGCTGATGATGGTAATGATTATGATTATAATGAAGAAGCAGATGTAGCAGCAGTAACAGCAAGAACAACAACAACAACATACCTACTATATAAATAGTGCATACAAATAATAATAATAATTTTTGTAATAAAGTTAACTCTATGTAGCGTACATAAACATAAACATAAAGAACATAAATATATATATTATATATATTTATAATTAACAATTAATCGTACATACTTGCAAAACAAATGAAAAACAAAAAAAAAAAAGAAAAGAAAATTGAACCTATAGGCAAACAATAAAAAAATTGAAGCAGAAAACACATTATGATATACACTTAAGTATTATATGAGAATAATTAGTAACTAAATGAAATAAATGATAGATGTATTTCGTATTAACTAATTGCCTATCGAATTAAGCATGTACCACCAAAAACATGACTCAACTCTCAACTCTGTAAACACTCCTCACCACCAATCTCTTAACTCTCTCTCTCTGTCTTTCTCTCTCTCTCTCTCTCTTTCTCTCTCTCACTTTGTCACTGTTTTTATATTTTCCAAGTTCTCGAACCACTCGCACCACCACCACCACCAACCACTCGAGAGTTTTTCGGCTCTACGCTTTTTGGTCTTGTTTCCTCTTGCTCTCTAGCTAGCTTTCTGTTGCTTTCGTAAAGGTTGAGGCACTGCAGGCAGTACTAAGAACCCTAATTTTCAACGATTTCTTTGGCAACTTTGACCTTTTAACTGACGCGTTACTTTAATGGAAAAATGTCACTTTTAAGTAAAACCACAAATTATAATGTGGCAAAAGCACTTTTAGTGTGGTATGTTAGATGTTGTTTGTAGATAACAAACTCTAAAACGTAGTTACAAACTCAGTCTCTAGGCACACTAGCTGAAAGTCGCTCTTTAGCAGCAGCTTCTTCTTACTTACTAACTATTTTTCATTATTTTCCAACTTAAAATTAACTTTGAAAGCGCATTAAAGCTTTATTTTAAAGCTTTGATGTTCTGTTCTTTTAATTACTTTCAGCTAGTGTCATTTTCCCACATAGGAGTTGAACTAAATTCATTTAAAGCTTCACAATGAAACTTATGCTCCACGTTCCCACCTGAGCTAAATAGCTTTCACTCCTAATTTTCATATCAATTATCCAATACAACTAAAAACCTGCTATTTGCCTTTGTAAATACACACACACACGTACACACTCACTCTCTCACGAACATCTCACACACCGTTGAAGAAAGTATGCAATGAATTTTAATGTTCTGTTTCGGTTCTTAAATTAATTAATGGGAGTTCTTTGGTATTTCTGTTGTTTTTCCAAAAATTGAGATATGAAAATTTACATAGGAGTAATTTGTAATCGCACTCGATTTTTGTGTGAATTTCTAATTAAATGCGGGTTAACAGGAGGAGGAGGAGGCGGAATTTAACAACTAAAAATAAATGGAAATGGTAAAACACACACGTTTTGAGACGAAACACACAAAAAAAAAAAAAAATAAATAACAAAGAACAACAAAAAAAACCATTTCAAAAGCGAGAGCCGCTGGCACAAATTGCGCGAATATGCAAATTGTTATGAATTATTGTGTACTTTTGTAAAACTTTTTGATATATATAATATAGTTAACATGAATAGATGCCTAAATAATAAATTAAATGTTAATTTATTTAAATGTAAACAATAAACAAAACAAAAGAAACGAGAATAGAAATGCTGGCGAAATTGAAATTGAAATTGAAATTACGTCGATTTTGAATGCGTCTCATGGTCGGATCACTTGAAATCCCAATTGACGTATATCTAACTAGTTGAATGGTGGAATGATATTGTTATAAATACGATAATATGAATACGTAATCTGGAATCTGGAATACGGAATACGGAATACGGATCGAGCATAAAATTACTTTACAGCAACATTTACATTCAAGTTTTGTGTACAAAAGTAACAATTGAGCAAATGCCATTGCATCATTTTGGACATTTCATACTCGTAATGTTAAAGGTCATTTGAATGAATCAAAAACTTGAAGCCGAAGACGAAACCGAAACCGAATACCAAAAACCGAAAAAATCGAAATCAATACAAATAATTAGCACGAAAACCAAAATATATTATAAATAATTAAAATGAAAAAACAAAATCAAACAACAACAAGTATATACAATAATTTTGTAAACGCCGGACAGCTGCTAAAAACAACAACAATAGCAGCTGAGCGAGCAAAAAAAAAAAAAATAAACAAATTAAAAACAAAAAAATGTTATGGCAAGGTAGCAATTATTTTTTACAAAACACTAAGAAAACCCAAAAAAAAAAAAAAAAAAAACTATTTAATGTATGTAAAAATAAAAATGAGTATGAGAAAAAATTTTAAAATGAGGGAAATGCTAAAACCAAAATTCTTTTTAGGCCACAAAACGAAAAAAAAAATTACATAATTTATGTGCCAAGCGAGAAATTATTCAATGTATCGTATTTGATATCATCACCAAAGCGAGCACAATATAAATAAGAAAATATAAATAATAATAATAAAAAAATGAAAAGCAAACAAAAAAACTCATGTCAAATTTAATTAAATGCAAACATTAAATGAATTAAAAAACGAACGCGTGCAGACGATTTCAAATACTCTTACCAAAAAAGTATTTCAAATGTGTGTGCACAGTACTCTGTATAAGCCTATACCCTAGCAACCCACACAACCCCAACCACAACCCCACCCCACTCCACAACACCCCACCTCACCCCCAGGGTCCTCATCACCAACGACACACTCTCGAGATGCCAACAAACAGCCAAGTTTGTTATTTAATTAGTAAATGAGAAATTATTAAGAAAACAGCTAAAAACTTTAAAAACTCAAACTGAAATCTTCTGTACTTGTTAATTAACAACAACAACAACAACAACAAAATCAAAGCCACATAGAGAAAAAAAAAATAAGAAATTTAAATTAAAAATGAAAATGATAAGCAAAAACTTTAACTATAAACCAAATTAAAACTGATGAGCCTAAGAGAAAACTTTCGTTAAGATCCCCCTAAAATAAATACTTGGCCCCAGTCGAAATGATTTACTTAAGTCTAAAAACAAATAACAAAGCCCCAAATGGAAATCGTATATAAAATTGAGAGATAATGTAATAGTAATACTATATAATAATATGGCATATAAATGAAATGAAAATGAACAAAAAAAAACAAACAACTGGCATAATTATGGTAATTGTAAAATAATTAAACAATGACGTAAACGTAAAAAGTGAAAATAATAAAAATAAATTGTTGTTATTGAATGTATTTGTATAGAAAATTATTATGATTATGACGATGAATAATAAATGATTACAAATAATAATTATTGTTCAAAAACCAAAACAAAAAAAAAACAAACAAAACCAAAAAAAAACAAAATAATATATATACATATATATATGAGAATAATGTCTCTGGCTTAATTTTATTCAAACAAAAAGAAAGAAGCAAACTAGTCAAGAGGATCATTAAATGCCGGCTGGAAGCTTTAAGCGAGCTTTTGGGCATCGTGAGATGAGAAAAAACGAGCTTTGCAAGTACATTCAAGCTCACTCAACATCAAAAGCTCATTTGCCGGGATTAATCTAATGAGCCGGCGCCATTTTCAGTTAGTGCCATTTAGCCACCTGGCCCAATGACCCGATTGGCAGCATTGCGTGAAAAATACGCGATTCGTTCGCGTATTAAAACTTTACTTTTTTTCCTGAATTTTTTTTTTACATTCTTAATGGCAAAGCAGCAGAGCCGCCAACGACAAATAACAAGCGGACCGTAATTAGAAATGCGATGGGGAGAGGCAGTGGGCCTCCAAAAGGCAGCAGCAACAGCAGCGAGCAACAGCAGTTGAATCGAGTCAAAGGATCCAATTCGGTCGGTTTGTGACCGAAGCAGCTGCCGAAGTGGCCGCCTTCAGGTGTTCGCTGTGGTAGCAACTGTGCCGCTGATTCAGATTCGTTTCAACTCGCGAAAGGGAAAGTTCGTGCCACGGACGCTTAGCCGGCGTGCAAGGCGTCGTCCAATTGCAAATTGCCACTTGCCACAGTTGCGTGACTCGCATCCAAGTCCAAGTGCGAGTGTTCAGATACGCACTACAGCCACTGTAGTGTCAGTGTGTGTGTGCTTGTGTTTGTGTGTTGGATTGTGTGTAAAACTGTCCAAATATTTGCATAGGCCACACGGATAAACGTTAACGAGCTGACGGTCAACTGGGTCTCAAAGTTTTTACAGCATTCGCTGCGGTTAAATTGCGGTTTGTTTTGCATATTTTTCGGGGCGCTCAGCAGGAAAAACAACAGCGAGGTAGGGAAAATGTACAGAAAACATGTGCAAAAACTAATTACAAATAACACGACTCGCTTTTAGTCATGTCAGCTATTAGTGTGTCTGTGTGTGTGTGTGTGTGTGTCTTTATTTGTGTTCATGTTAATTATGACCAACAGCATCAGATCCAAATGCCCAAAGAGCCGCCTGTCTAATTAACAGGCAACACGGCTTTCTACTTCAATTTGGCTAACAATATGTTTTGGACAAGTCGCGAACATTTACATTTAAGCCCTCCGACAAAAGGTCAAAGCCTAATTGATATTGACACTGAAATGTGACTAAAGTGGAACCGGAAATGAGCGCTCTTTCTGCGTACAGTTATGCCTGAACGCATTAAAAACTAATTCGGTGAAACTTTTCTAATTGAGATAATTCGAATTTAATTATATTCAAGTGTATAATTTTATCTAATTATGCTTTTAATTTTCTGTTTAAGCCAGAGGTTGGTTAAAGGATAGCGATATCACAAGATATTGTGATATTTCCAAAACAGTGAAAACTTCAAGTTGAACATTTATATTCTATAATTATTTAGGCAGAGATTAGAACTTAGTTTTAGAATTAGAATATGTCGACTGCTGGTATTAAATTATATTATATTTAGTGATTTTCACTTTTGCCATTGTGTTACTGAATTCTATTTCAGCTATATAAGTATATTTTTGTGGTTGGACTTAAGCATTTAAGCAAATTGTTTGCTGCTGTATATATGTATATGTATATACCATTTCATAGAATTTTAAACTAGTGTTCAATTCGGATACAAGAGGCAAACTTTTGTATGCAAAACACCAATATTTACATGGAATAAGTTAAAAACTTTAGTTAGAAAACTTTGAGTCGACTTTATAATATGTTCGAGCAATTTCCACTTTTCCAATACTTAACTAATAGTTATATAATTGACAGTTACTTCTTTATTGGCTAATTATATTACAGTTTGTCAGCAGAAATTTCAATTACACTTTAACTGTTCGACCAATTAGTCTTAACTGAATTCAACTCTCCCATTGACACATAATTTAAAGAGAGCAATCAAGTTAGTCAACTATTTGACCATTTACCCGATGTGTTGGCCAAAACGTTCATCAATAAATGAATAATAGATAAACCGCAATTCTGGTCAAGTTTATGGCCATTAAAAGTCTACGTCAGTTGGATAATAGCCTGAATGCTTTAGTAGATACAAATGTATCTGAGCTCAAAGTGAAACGTGACTAACGTTAAATTGCTTTAAAAATAAAAAGAAATAAGACCACAACAAATAGCAGTGGAAGAAAAACATGATTTAAAAATGTTGCAAGTTAAATATCGCGCAACGCTGCCGGCAACGTTAATCAGCGCCCTGCTGCTCTGCGCATTAATAATTCAAACGCAACAGCAACAGAATGACGCCGCAGCAGCAGCAATACCGGCAGCGACGCCGGCAGCGACTGCAGCAAAAGCTCAGCGAATACGCGAACCAAATGTTATGGTGAATAAAGCGTCAGTCGAGACGCGCAATGGTAAGTAGCAAGTTATGATGCGGCAAGGGGAAGCGGCGTATTTGAGCATATTTAAGCATTTTTGAATTGACAGCTGTGCGTCGCCTGGCGCGCAGCGTTTTCCATGTACGCTGGAATCCCAATGAGAAATTCATTGTTGAGAGTCGCGAGAGTCCGGCTATTAACTCATCCAAGCTGGCGCCCCATCCGCGCTTGAAGGTGTCCAAGAACACCAAGTTGACTCTCAGCCCGAAACTGTATCTGTGCCACGACAAATATGCGGAGCAGTGCCACAATAAGACAGCCTCCTTTCGCCGCCGCATTGTGCAGACCTTCGAGCGTTCGATGAGCGAGGCACTCAACGAATCCAATCATTACTATGTGGACTATAAGCCGGTGTTTGGTGACAGTTTCGAGGAGCAGTATTATCCCTCCACCTGCCTCGTCATGGAGGCGGGTGTGCGTGTCTTGCGTCGCACGGATAAACCGTTTAATAAGCTACCCTTCGGGCGACTCTTTCCGCGCCAGAAACTCTTTCGCAATGTGAAGAACATCAAGACCTGTGCGATTGTCTCCAGCGCCGGATCGTTGGCTGGCTCGAAGTTGGGTCGCTTTATAGGTGAGTTGCCATATCAGAATTCTCGGTGCACACTCGGAAGAATCTCGTTGTTGTCATATTGTGACCAGAAGTCAACGCGTGATTGATTTGATTCCATTTGTTGTCGTCTACTCCAATTTTGCTAGATACACACGATATCGTCATGAGATTTAATCACGCACCGACCCGAGGACACGAGGTGGATGTTGGCAGCAAAACTACAATACGTGTCGTGAATTCCCAAGTAGGTGGCCAGCAGTGCAGTTCCGCTCAGTTTGCAATGCTCAGTCGATCATCAATCAAGAACTCATCAGCACTCATCAATCATTGTTGCAGGTGGTGACCAAGCCCGAGTTTGATTTTGCCCATGCGCCGATCTTTAGGAATGTCACGATCGCCGCCTGGGATCCAGGCCGTTATAATGGCACTCTCGAAGACTGGCTGACCAGCGCCGATTATGATCTGTTCACCAACTATGAGATCTACCGGCGACGCTATCCAAAATCACGAGCGTTTCTCATCGATCCTCATTCGGTGTGGCGCCTCTGGCAAAGCCTGCAAATGTTTGCCGGCAATCGATCCATACGTCGTAATCCACCCAGTTCTGGTTTCATAGGTGAGTATCTTGAGTAGATTTTGAAAATGATTTGATGCTAACTGGTTAAGCAACTAAAATGGACTAAATATAGTTGAAGCTCAAATATAGTTTAACTAGCTTTAATTTAATCGACTTTTTTTAAAAATATATTTACAGGTTTGGCGCTGTTGCTGCCGCATTGTCCCCAGGTTGATTTTGTGGAGTATGTGCCCTCCACGCGGCTCAATGGACGCTGCCACTACTACAGCAAAGAGGTGAGAGATTTAACTTGCCAATGTACTCATTGCCACTCATTTAATTTGTGGCGACTCTCAGATGAATTCCGCATGCACATTTGGCTCTTGGCATCCGCTGGCCGCCGAGAAGCTAATGGCGCTGGACATGAATGTCGCCGACGATATGTCCGTCTTCCAGTTTGGCATATTGCGCATTCGACGACCCGATAAGCTGCTCTGTGGCTTCAACTTCTTCGGTTACTGATCCCTGATCCCACCGAGCGATCAATGTGCATTTAATCAAGCGGTTTTCACACACACACGTTTCAAGTAGCTTAACAAAAAGGAAAAATGAGAGGCTGCAACTATTAATATTTGCAATAAATAAATATATATGTATGTCTATTTGCTTATATGGGTGAGTGTGTGGTGTGCCCTTCCCGAAGCAAGGCGGAAGCGTGCACAGCCTTGAGCCTGAACCTGGGTCTGAGACTGAAACCGAATCGCCCACGCAAAGGCGCTCTTTATAATGGACAATGAAGTCGGAGTCAGTAAAGTGGCTGTCGCACTTGATTTTGATTATTTGTTTGCTTACAGCTCTTAAGGGCCAGGGGAGACACAAAAGCAATTGTATGTAGCTGGTAATAAATGGCACTGCCAGACTTAGAGTTACCCTATATAAGCGTAATGCACAATCATAGAAATATTAAAAATATTACTGCAGCGAATCAGAATATCATTTTAAAATTGGTTTGTGATGCCCACAAAGATAAAAAGCGTCCCGACTATGATATACTCTATAGTAACAATATACTCTACCTAGTAACAAAAGAAGATAAAACACTTCTAAGGTAGTAAAAGAAGCAGAAGTGGGACCCTCCTCTCCCTGGCCAGAATAAAAAATACCCCTTAACATAAATATTCCAAGATAGTTAAAAAACAATTAATAGAACGTCTAGCCAGACTATACCCTATACAGATAGTAAGCTTTACAGCTAGTTTAGAGAAGTTGCAAAATTAACTGTGTCCCTGTTAAAATAACTCAGACACGTCAAACTTCAAATTATAAATGTTTATAATAGCAGACAATTACTCATAGCTATACACACCCTATAAATCCCTTAAATAACAGGGTATGCTGCTGATTGCTGCATGTTTTAACCATTAAATGCGATAACTGTTGTCTACACAGTGCAACAGAGCGAAATATATATATAAATATACAAATATTATTGTGAAGGGGGGCAAGGAACAGTCGAGTTTATGGATTAAGGGCGGGGTCTGGGGGCATTGCTCATTAATACGTGCTGCGGCAACCGAAACGTGCCCGGCATGCCAAGGAGGAGCAGGCGCGAAGACCAAGACGCACCAGCCCCAAAATCAGCAAACACCAAAACAGACAAGAGCAAAAACCCAAAAGGTGAGCAAAGCAAAATAAACTTATGATGGCAGTTGTACTTCGGCGAGTACGCGGCGTATGCGTAACTCGTGTTGTTGCAGGTAGCCAAGGAGGAGGAGGTGGAGGAGGAGACAGTTAAATGAGATATACGAGTGCATTCTCTCATATAGTCGGAATAAACATTTAAAATTGACACTAAAGCGAAAGCATTGAACCAGGAAACCACACACCAAAATCACCAACAGGCGCTGAAAACAAACGAAAGTTATAGCGAAAGGACGCAGTTGAATTAATTCAATCTTCTTTCTGTTTACTACACGTGCCGCATAAATGCAATCCAAATATTGCGGCGAATGACACCAAAAACTGACGCGACTCGCAAAATACACAAAAAACAAATCGAATTTGCGGTTGTCATTTGAAATTTTGGACAGGTGTGCAAATCTACCAGAAAGTTCATCTAACCCATGCGCAGTCGTCGCCGCCGAAATAAAAACAATACAATAAAAACTGCAACTGGCATTTCACATTTGCATTTTCAACATTCTACATTTCTACCAGCAACATCCATTTGCGGATTTTGTTTGGCAAATGCAAATACGGGCCGCATGTGGCATGTGTGCACTTGCCGCTCTGCTCGGCTTCTCTTCTCTTCTCTGGTGTTGCCACATCTGCAGTTTGAATTTGCATTCGCATTTTTGTTTTTTTGTTCATTTTACGTGAATCAATCCGGCGGCATCATTTTGCTAAGAATTTTGATATGTTTTGATTACCTTTTACAAATGTGCGTTCATTGCCCGCCGGACGTGACTGTAATTCCGAAAATTCATCCAAAAATTATTATTTGTATATTTGTTATGGCCATTGAGTCTGACTCAAAGCTGCGCAATCACATTCTGATTAACACTACATTTTCCAATCTCACTCAATACCTTCAGCGGGGCTCTGAAAAACCAAAGATCGATTGAACGAATCCTTACTAATTGAGATATATAAGTCAATAATTTATGCTCAGCTCTGTCTCCAGTGAATGTTTGCACAGAACTCTGCTATTGAGAATACATAAAAGTAATTAATTGATAAATTGGTAGTCGGTTGATTTCAACAATATTCTGATAAACCATTAACTAGCTGGGCTACGAGTACGTAATGTAAATAATATATCGTATGCAAATTCGAATAACTGTTGAGGTGCATAAGAATCTTTGTTAATTAGCCTAGCTCGTGTCGTGTGTCGTTATCAGAAATCGATGAGGGAGCGTGTGAATAATTAAACGGATATACGGATATGCAAATAAAATGAAATCATTAAGCCAACTACTAATTGACGTCCCAGATGACGATGTTAGACTGTTGCACTGCAGGACTGCTGGACTGCTAGGCAGGGCTGCGACTATTGATGAATCTTCCGTTTGAGAGCTGAATTCATCCACGTGACCAGAGAGTCAAAATGTGTTGAGCCATTGGCATTTGCAATTGTTATTATCTATGTTGCCTGCATATTCGTTTTGAGTTTTTATTTTTATTTGGTGTTAAATGACAGCTCTGGTCGTCGTGGAGGGTCAGCAACAGAAACACCAACAACAACAAAAATAGAAACATTGGCAAACGACATCGACATGAATTTCGCGTCTGTTTTTATAAATTGCTGTCAAGTGGATTTGGCTAGGCTTCAATGTTGCACTAATTGGAATCAGACTCAAGCACACAGTCTGTCCCTCCGTCCGTCCGTCCGTCTGTCTGTCAGCTTGCCCCCATCTGACTGTCAATCGGGCATCGAGTCATCCCGCTCCAAGAACTAGTACATTGCTTGCCTCATGGTATCTGCAGCTGCTTCACTTAAATTTAATTGCTATCCAATTTCCAAAAATTTGTTTATTCATTTGTCGTGCGCTTTTTCAATTTTGGGACTCAAGCATTACTCATGACATTTCTCTGAATTATTTATTAGTCACTAGATATATGAATTAATGTGGCTTATTACTTAAAGTGTTCCAACAAAAGCCTGAGTACCAGCTTTTGTTATCCCATGATGCATCAGGGCGTGTTCTGCGACCACAATATCACGTACCATTGCAGTCCAGCAGATTACCCAAGATCCAAGACCAGACAGGAGGCAGCAGGCAGGAGGCAGGAGACATGAGGTGCGAGACAAAGGTGGCACAGACACGCAGCATGCGATACGCAGAAGGCAGAAAGAGTCAAGGTTAATTTGCCTGCATATCGATTGCCATATTTGTGTGGCACACAACTTTATTTGTATGCCGTTAATTGGCTCTGTTCAAGGCCAAGTTGCGTGTTCAACGGTAAATATTAAATGACTCAATATTAATAACGAATTGATAGTCAATCATTAACTATAAATCAAAGGCAACAGGTCCAGTTTATTAGCGATGCAAACCGGATAGTTGTACACTTATAAGTCGTGCTGTGAGATATAAGATACATGTATAAAATCGAAAAAATGACAACTGTAATTGATATTGATGTAATCCTTGAATGTGACTTGAAGAAACGACTTCTTTGTTGCTGCTCCTAAGTAATATGTAAATTTCTCAGCGAAATAAAAATCCAAAAATATAAGAAAAAACTGGGTAGTCTTATCTGGCTGATAGGCAGCTATAAAAGTGAGAAACAAAAATTTAAGGCTGTTTACTCTAAATTGATTATTAATAAAAGCGAAATCGGGGTGTTATTATTCCATTCACGCAGTAGAGTAAAATAAATGCTCCAAATGTTAATCGACTCAATGATCTCATGGCTTCAATTGCACACAATCAAAATACTGAGAAATTTTATTGCTAAATTGATTTTTAAAGTGTCACAATATCCCCATAACATTGAATAAAATAACCAATAATTTGACTCATCAAAAGAAAGAACAAGAAAAAAACTTACTTCAAATTGTTGACAAGATCTTTGGTTTTCTCCAACCTAATGCAGTCACTTAATTTTCTATAATTATGCTTATATAAAAACATAAACATTCATTTATATTGTGTTCAAATATTAGCTAACTCCTATCCTATAATTTAATACCAAAATCACGCCCAAAAGTATGCTAGGTGGAAGATTTTCCAATATGATTGCTATGAATATGAATAATGTGAATTGCTCCTAAAAGACTTTCCATGAAAGGCTCTTTAATTTATCATCACACTGAGGTCTGAGGTCTTATTATATGCATTTCCTGCTTCTTTAATAATCGTTTTCAATTAGATCCCAGCTTAAGACTCGTTTATAGAGAGGTATAGGTAGGGAGTGGTCAGTTGATTTGATTTGTTGTCTGTCTGTTTGTTGACTTCCTGGCTGAATTATTCATTGCTAACTTAAATGCTTGGTTTATGCGCATTTGTTTGATTTCAATATTGTGTTTACTTATATATAAGTGCCGTACAATGGAGCCATTAAAGAAGAGGAAGAAAAAAGCACAGCAGGAGCAGCAGAAGAACAGAGGCATTCCTGCACGTTTGAGTGTGTATAAATCAAAACATAAGAACAAAATAAAATTAAATTTAGCTGAGACAATAACAACAATAATAACAACAACAACAACAATAACCGATCCATCCATTTGAGACATTGGAAACGGTATGCATATCAAATGATTCAGCTCTTGAACTTCAGACGGAAAAAAGCGAGAGGTACAGAGATAAACATAGGGATTCGCCACAAACATGAATAAAAATGCGTTGCGGTTTGATATCATTTTGGTGAGGATGAATCCAACTCCAGTTATTATCGACAGTGCGTCACAAGTGTTGAACCAGTGAAATGATTGATGACTCACACTCTGCTTCAAACAGATGGAACATGGTCAATACTATGTTAACAGAGGGGACTGAGTCTGTTGCAGAACTGAGGCTAAATGCAATTGTTTTTATCTTAGTTCGGGCTTTGTCAGTATCAACTGATTGTTGTTGCTGTTGTTGTTGTTGTTGTCGTTTGCTTTGCATACTTCCCAAAACAAATGAGGAAGAGTCAAACACTACATTGAGGCATCCGTCTGACAGGGAAGGACGTCGACATCGGCTGCGACTGCGACTGCGACTGCGACTTCAACTGCGACAGCGACAGCGACGACAGCGCTGTCAGACTGACTGATCCGATTGGATCGTCACAATGTTGTTGTTGTAACGCACCCCTTGATCCGAGCCATATAAAAGTATCTAAGCGCGGCGGCGTCGACTTCAGTCTAGTTGCAAACTCGTGAAACTGTAATTGAAATTGAAATCCGACACTTTTTTAGCTGCAGTGCGCGTGTTGCTTGAGAAATAAGGCTCCAGAACAAAAAAAAACCAAACAGAAATTAATCATTATCCAAATATATTGTCAAACAAAATACCCAAGAAAGTGAACTGTGACGCAGACGGCACCAAAAAAAAAGATAAAAACCCAAACAAAAAAATATTTGATTAAAAAAAGCTTGTTTCATTGTTTATTAGAAAGCTGTTTTCTTGTGTGAATCATTAACAAACAAATTGAAACTGCTGCCGAGCATCGTTTAAGGCAAGAGGACCTTCTGCACATATTTGCTTACAATTGAAACTTGAGGTAAGTACGCTGTTCAACTATAAAGCAATTCTAGAGCTTTTCAACTTTTATTTGTATTTGTATTTGTATTTATTTTGTTTTGTTATGGCCTGTTGCTCAAGTCCCAATGGCAACAGCTTTTCTGTGCGCCTGCGGCCAATTCGACCACACAAAATGCCAGGAAATTATTTTCTAGTTCTATTCCTATCAAAAAGCCAAACACCACCAGGCTGTCTGTGTGTATGGCTGTATGGGTGTGTAATAATGTGTATGTGTGATTTGTAGTTATTGCTAGTCGCGTGACTCGACGACAGCAGCGACGACGACGTTAAGCTCACACTCGTTCCAAATGTGGCCTGAACTATTATAATAAATAGAACATGAAACAACTAAAATTCGATATTACGAATATTCTACACACTTTATGTTACATCTTTTCTACTTTATATTATTTTGAAGGAAAACTATGAAATTGATAAAGTTTTAAAGTAATGTTTTCTGTTCTTGAATAAACTCATTCGTAAAACTTGAACAATAATCAATATTATATATATTCAAATTTTCGAGAGATAAAGTCTTCAGTTAACATATATCAGTTTGGAGTAGACAACTTTGCTTTTCATCAATATCGATCTATATTCCTTTTAAACTCTTAAACTGATTTTGTGGAAATATTTTTGCAATACTTGCTGAATTCTTTTCTAATGAATGTAAAAATACCATATGGAGGCAAATGTGATATTGGGATATTAAGATTCTATGTCACATTAGATTCCTCAAATTAAGCTTTCCAAACAGCTGAACAAAGTTTAGATACTTTACGAATAGATAGGGCAGCAAAGTACGAAGTCGCGACATATATGCAAAGGTAGCACAGGTAATAGGTAACACTCGTACCATTAGAATTCAAGACACTTTGAAAAAAGAGAGCAAGAGAGCGAGAGTGAGTGAGAGAGAGAGAGAGAGAGGAGTGTCGCCGGCATTTGTCGCGCCAAAGAAACGGCATAAAGGCAACTTAACAGCGGGTAATTTAGCCTGGCCAGGCAGGCCACCACGAATCAGCAACTGTGGAGCCACCAGACCCAGAGAGGGAGCGGCAGCTGGGTAGAAAAGTGAGTAAGCTAGCGAGAGTCAGACTGAGAGAGGGACAGAGAGTGAGTGAGCGAGAGAGAAAGAGAGAGACAGGGCTAGAGGCACAGAGGCACAGAGTCAACGCGTTTGCAGTGGCTAAACAACAAACGGGAGTCGCACACGGAACGTGCTATGAAACGGTTCGCGTAATCCAAAGACGTCGCTTCAAACGATTCGCAACGAATTTGAATTCGAATTCAAAGTCGAAGTCGAATTTTGATTTGTTGCTCACCCACCTGGCGCACTTGGGAGTTACTGATAGTATGCACAAGAACTGCCAGTTAAAAAAACGACAACAACAACAACAACTAACTAGCTCAGCTAACCATAAATTGCCTCAAAGTAGTGTACACAAATTAACAAAAAAGAACAAAAAACTAAGCTGTTCCCAAGTGAGAGTTATTAGCCTTGTGCCAGTTGCAGTTGCCAGTTGCCAGTTGGCAGATGTCAGCTTGATTCACTTATCAGTCGTTTGCGTTTACATCTAATCAGCAATTGGCCAATCTTAAGGGTTTGCCTGTGATAAAAAACTATCCATCTGTACCTCGGCGTGTGTTTGCTTGCAATATTTGCGCTGATTCTTATCACACTCTGGAAAGATAAACTCACGTGTCAGACTAATACCAAACTCAGTTGCTGCAATTATTGCCAAAAGTCAACATTCATCACTCACGTGGTAAGTAAGCCGATGACTCACATCAAACTAAAGTCATTCCCAAGCATCTGTATGGAATATACCAGTTGATTGTGGTCTCAGTCAAGTTCAGTCAAGTTGTGAAACATTGTTTAAATGAAGGGCTTTACAGCAAACAACTTTTGAAATAAGGTTTCCATAAAATTATGAACTATGTCAGTGACACATAAGTAAATAATAATATTTATATTTTTTGTTTGATGTTATCTGTTTATAGCCCAAGTGTTTAATTTGATTACACTTATGGAAGAGTGCTAACAAATTACTTGGTTGAGAACCCTGTAAATCATACATGGTATACAAAAAAACACTTTATCCATTAATTTTCCACACCCCCTTTTGGAAACCAATTCCAAACTTATTCATCCTGTTTATTATTGTATTAATAAACACAACAATCACTAAAATACATTCATTTGACTTAATTATAATAGAAAGTTGCATTGGCAAAACGCAGTTGATCCACTGGATTCTGTTGTTGTTTGTTCTTCAAGCATTGTCAAATGCAGGCACGTCGGACTATTGTGTAAAATTCAAATTCAAATTGGAATTGGAATTCAAATGCCAATAGCACAATTTGAATTACGAGTATGCGAATGGCCGAGCTGACCGTGACGTGATCAAGTTTAGAATCAGCATTTCCAAATGCCAAAATAACAGCGACAATTAGCCTTATGACAATAGATAATTGTTATTATATTTAATCGAAATATGGTCATTATTATTATTCTCGCTGGCAGACCACATTTTGAAAAGTTCATTTCACTCTCCCTTCCCGAATGGCAATGAACCGGCAGCAGCGACAACAGACAGATCTATAAAACGAGAGAGAGAGAGACACACATCTATAAATACGAGTACGATAAATAGTTTCCATTAAAAAGAAAAACAAAAAGACAAACAAAAGACAGAAACAGGCTCATAAATATTTCATTGTTCATGTCAGAGATGAAACCGCACGAGTTGAAGCTGAAAGCTGTGGGGGAGGGGGTGCGAGGGGCGTGACAGGGAACAGGGAACGACATCGAATGGGAACTGGGAATGGGAATGGGAATGGGAACAGCGATGACAACTGCAAGTTGTTATTGCCATACAGAGGCGGGTTCGCCTCGGGTCGCGACGAGTACCAGTTCTTGAGTTGTTGAGTTCTTGAGATCTGGAGTTCCTCACTCTTCAGTTGCCCGATTTCCGCTGGCCTGTCAAAGAATCGCATCTGCAATGCCACATTTTGTGGCACTTTTGTTCTCCGTTTATGGTATGCGATCTTAAGATTTATACATTCATTTCACACATGGGACTTTTCATTTAGTCATCTCGTCTGTGGCCAAAGGGCGACTCTGACACTGTAATTTTCCACTACAGTCCCAATAAATTATACACACGTGCGCATTTAATTTGCAGCTACTGTGATTGCTTATCCGCTCGTAAGTGGGGGCCACATTGGTCAATTCACTTTTAGCTGTTGTTTATAGGCAAATTCTCTGAAAATTATAGATGAGTAGGGTAGGGTTAAAAGACACAAGATGAGTCAGAATTTGATTCAGAGACCAGAACTAAATATTTTATGGCAATTGATGCTAATAGGCAGTGGGGTAAAACTCAGACAGGCGCCGACAGCAAAGATTTACTAAGAAAGCATTCCCAATGACTAAATTATATATGTATGTGCTTTTATGTCTGGTGTCTAACAAACATTTCAATTATTTTAAAATTCTAAATAGTCGACCTGTCAAATACCCTGCAATAGGAAAAGCTAACAAAAAAAGGTTAATTGCCGCAATAACAAACAAGAGTAAATATTAAAGTATATCTAGGTAAATATGGCATTTAATATATAGATATAGATAAGACGAAAGTGCATTTGAAAAGTAAAAATAAAGGAAAACATTGAGGTGATAATCTTTAACAAAGTATAGTTAAGACATTTATTAAGTCAATAAGCCATAGTCCGAAGATTTAAGAGCACGCCTATCATTAAGTAAATATAAGCTTGTTATATTTATTATTATTTATTTATTTGTGCACCATGTATGCACATTTTATCTAGTATCTAACAACTCAGTAAAGAGCCCAGCTTCCTGCTTTGGCCTCTTAGCTGAGCTCAGCGTCAGACAGCAAGGCGTGTGCCAGACAGGTGTTAATTGTCTCACTCACACAAACACACACACACACAGACATATTGTCATGACTAATATTCATTGAGAAATACAAAACCACAAATTCGATATTGAAATTCAAGTTGAGATTCATTCATAAATTTGTTTATGGAGGAATTACCACGCCCACATACTTAAACACTCTCATAATGAGGGCGCGAAGAGTCACAAATTCAACGGAAATTGCACGACTTTTGCAAGAAACAGCAGCAGCGATAGCAACAGCAGCAGCAGCAGCAGCAGCATTCGTCAAATGACAGCGGGGCAAATGTAAACTGTAAAAGCGTAAATATACAACAACAAAGCACACGCTAAACAGTTAACAAAAGCTGCCGCCGCCGCTGCCTCTGCTGCTGCTGCTACTGAAGTCAACAGAGAGCATGACACATGTATCAGTTTCCAAGAAATTCGGATTACTCATACGCAATGCCCCAATATACAGCAGAGCGTAGTTTTAAGAGGTTTAGCAGCAGCAGCAGCCACTGCCGCAGCACCAACAGGTTTGACCAGCAATGGAATCCCCGATGCAAAGCGTTGAGCAGCGCACTGTTAATTCAGCGTCGCTGTTAACTGTGCTGGCTGTGCGTATGCGAAAGCTTTTTTTTTATGTTTTGTGCGCAAACGCAAAAAGCTTTCGCTTAACTGAGAGCGCCTCGCACTTTGTGATGCGCCGTTGGATCAGTTAAAATTTGCGCGCTGCTCTGTGCGGTTGTGTTTAGCGGCAAGCGACGACGATTCGATCAAATTTTAAGTTAATTAAGACAAAAATTCAAAGTAACAGTTGCAAGCAATTGAATTGAAAGCGAATTAGAGTTTGCAAAGTGAACAACAAGTGCCGTTTTTGTTGCAGTTTTGCGGAAATAGTAAACGCGTGTGCACAGTGTCAGTAATTATAGATATATATATATATAAAGATATATATCAGCTAAAACAAAAGGATTGCCTGTAAACTGTCTGCCAACAAATAAGTAGATAAAGAAATACAGAAATACATAAGTCAACGCCAACGAAAAAACGCCCACACGCGCACTATATGCAAACGAGCTAATTAATTTAATTTGTCAAAGTGTTGGCATGCGACAATAATCAGCAGGCAACAGCGGCAGAGGAACAAAGAGAGCAACATCAACAACAATTGCAGTCGCTGCTGCAGTTCATTGATCTACGTACGTCGCTAAGATACTCACAATTCTCATGTAAGCATCCGCAGCAGCATCCACAGCGAGTGATAAATCTTCCCTTAACTCATCTAAAACTGTCTTAAGCGAAAAAAAAAAAAAAAAAGGGAGAAATGAACTTGACAACTTCATTTACTTTTCTTTGTCGCTTAGTGGCTTAATCATGACACATGCTTCTTCATACGCACATATATGTTTCTAAGGTCAAGTTCTAAACCAATCATAATTTATTTATTGATTATGCGCTGGCCATTCCAAATATTTGGTAACTCACAGCCCTGAGACAGAAATCGACGTGCCTCATATCTTATCAATGCATATAAGCACTTCAACAACAATTTGAAGAAGTGATAAAAAAGAAATACTCTATAGCATTACTGATAAGGCACCACAACACTCGCCACAAAAAAAAAGCAAAAATTCATTGTGCAATGTACCGCATCTCTCTCAAAAACCAACGAAACTGGCCAGCAAAACTGGAAATGCTAACAAACGTCATGAAATGCACTGAGCGAAAACAGTATAAAACCAAAAAAAACGTATAAATCAGTTTTATTATGTGTGCCGCAGCTATTCAAAATAGCTCTCTTTCTTTTCTCTCTGTGTTTATTTTGAGTAACTGAAAAAACATTTGCTAAACCTGTTGGCAAACAAAACATTTCAACTGCTATTAGAAGCCGAAAAAAGGGAACAAAAAAATCTGGAAAGAATACTAAAATAATTAACATATAAAATAAATTATTATGTATGCATATGATTCACAATTAGCTGGAAATATCGAAAATATTAGCATAGAGTTGGCATAGCTCCAGGCCTCATTCCAAAACAGTTCGCAACACATTTATACATTTATTTACATACGTGACCCACATTGCGTATACGTAACGCTCTGATATTAAACCAAAACTCACTTCAAACTACATTGCAATTTTTGTGGAGAGCTCAGAGAACTTGCCGCAGCAAAATTTCGCGTATTGATTTAACAACAATGCAATGGCATTCATCGTTATAGCGACTATGACTCCCTACAGAAATAACTATCTATTCATGAAGTGGATTGTTTAGCCAACCAGAGCGAACCGCATCGACAGCTTTAACCTTAAACCCACCAAACGATGACCTTCAACTCGACTAATTGCTCCAAATTTAACTGTTTATCTATATACACGTATTTATATGTATATTAAAACACACATGAAAACACACTCAGTACATGTGTTAGCTGCAAGCACCTAACTAGGCCCAGCTAGTAAAATGATAATACCCTTGTCCACACTGAAATCCCCCAGGTGATTAGTCAATAAGAAAAACAACAATGGAAACAACTACAACAAAATGCAGACTTATGCGTATCATTCAGCAAATATTGCTTCTCCCGCTCGTTGTCTCTATTGTTGTGAGTGTCACACCCAAAAAGAGCAAAAAGTAAATAAATATATGTGTTTATCTGTATCTGTATCTGTATATGCCGTTTACTTTCGGCTCTTGGCGCTGAAAACTGCGCGCCACTTGTCGTATACTTGATATCACTTATCGTACGCTGCTGATGTCACAGCCCACAACGCACTGAGCGCAATTTGAGCATTTTCGCGAGCTAAACATAAAAGGCTTATAAAAATGGGGCTACGTATTCAGAATAACCTTTAAAAAACCCAAACTAAATTTATTCACTTTATAATTTTATATTTTATTCCGTCAATTTACTTTTACTACTCAAATTGTGCAGTTAAAAATGTCTCTGTAAGAATTGTTGTAATTTTTATTGCATTTTCAGTTGCATCTGCTTGTTGCTAGGTTATCGTTTAGAAAGTGTAATAATTGTGACTGTTGTAATCCGATTTTATAAAGCAATAAACAGCTTCTTAATCCTGATTGAAATAGAGCAAAAACACATGTCGTATACTTAACTTGTAACTTTTTAATACAAAGTAGTGTAAGTCAAGAAAGATATAAAATAAGCTATTTTTGGCCATATCATATCACTCAACAAAGTGTCGTCTAATATGAATCTGGCTATCCTTGTGTAAATTTGCATTTCTATATTTAGATTCTAATTGGGTTTAGTCTAAATTTAAGTTCAAGTGTAGTGTGGCACAGCCACATGACTGCTGCTGCTGCAAGCAACAACAACTTTAAAACAGCTGACACCCTCTAAGCCAACGTGAAACACACACACAAACAACACACACAAATACGTGTAGTTACAACCACTTTTTACTACGTCTCACAGCTGAGCCATAACTTGGCCACAACTTTAGCTACAACTTGGCTACAACAGGGCTACAACTTGGCTACAACTTGGCTATAGTTGGCGTAGTATACCATCACTTCCGTTAGCCGTTCCTGGCGAAAAGTTGTGTGCCATTTAGGCCCAGTTAACACTGCAGCCCATCGCAGTCAACCTGTTGGCAAATGGGGCCCGTTTCCGTTTGCCGTTTTGCACTTGGCCTGTTTGATGGCGAATTCTCTTATGATTTTCACCTGACTGTCTGTATCCGTATGAAATATTAATTGACCTTTTTGCGATTCTATTTCTATTTCTATTTGCAGTGCGCAGTTGTTTATTACAAACTTCAGTCACGACTTGAAGTTCAAAGTGCGCCCCACACAACAGCAACAATACCAATACAACATTAACAACAACAACAACAACAACAACAGCTACAAAATGTCCAACACCTGCCAAAGCTACTCATCCGTGTTCATACTCCTAGGCACATTGCTATCCATTTTGGTAGCCGCCCAGAGTGCGCCAGTTTCCTCAACGACAAAAGCCGAGGTAAGTGTTTGCTAATCCCAACTAACAATCTCAACAACTTGGAGGCATGATTTATTGATCAAGTGTGGAAAATCTATTTAGAAGGGTTGTAATTGAGACTTAACTGAACTGAACTGGGTGTATAATTTTTTGATAAGAGTGGAACGATTCTAGAATGAAAGTAAACTGAATCTTGGACCAAGTCTAGTTCTCGAGGAGTGTAAAGTAAATCTTAAGTGAATGAATAACTACAACTAAAAAAGTTGATCAAATATGGAAAACTAGATAAATTTAATTTTCTTTCATTTATTAGAAGCTTTAATACGCTGAGTAATTATCTATTTTGAATCTATGCACAACCATTTGTCAAACCCTCTTTTACTATTTCAGTTTAGGCAATTATATTTTGCATTTATGCTTATCTTGCAACATGCGGACAATTTAGTTTGAAAATGATTAGAAATTAACATGCAATGCTAACCACATTCATGTGACTCAATTGCAATGTCAAGTCCAACACCCCTCCACACCCTCCACACCCTCCACACCCCCAACACCCCTTTCAAAGCAACACACAAAACGAAACAGAAAAATAAAAATCGATGCATCTCCAGGCACAGAGGCAAAGCTGTAATTAATGCACTCACATGAATTGGCTATCAACGATATCAACAGGCTGTCGCTTAATGCACTGCTGTTGGCTAAAAGACCCCCAAAAGGCTAAGGTCGTGAAAATTTCAGACGACGATATTTGTATACTATATGATATATATATTCACATACACATACGATAAATACATTGCGTGCAGATGTGACAGGAATAATTGTTGCACATGCACAGTCCGTTGCATGTGCAGCCAACTGGCTACACATACAACTAAGTACATATATATATATTATATATATTATATAATATGTGGATGAAGCAACACCATTGACAATGGCAATCGAAATACGGCTTTTTCTGCGCAACTTTTGTCAAGTAAATCGGAAGTAAACGGCGTATAATTTCTAATATTTATATGTACCTAGCAGCTACAATCAGTTAAGCACATAAGAGATAACATTGTTTGAAATGATTCATAGTCCGACCAGTGTGCTCAGAATCACAATTAATTGTTTTGCACTGGACTATGATCAAATGCGTTTAAGTTGTTGCTGAATTGTATTTAATGGCTTCATACATTTTTCAATATCCAGTTTTTTGTTATTGTCTAATTTAATAAATTATAAAGTTGAAATAATTTGATTAACATTCCATGGAAAATTTGTCAATAATTGAATTCAATTTCAAGTGCAATTTATTAACGTTTATGATTATAAATCTAAGCAATTGTGCCTCTATATTCTATTATATTCAGACTGACTACAGCTCTTTTCGTTCAATGAATATTTAGTATTCACATTTAATTGCAGTAACTTCAATTCTCGCGGCTCTTGCACATCTTGTTAAGATGCACATTTCAAACTAACTTTAATCAATTAACGTGTCTGCCTCCGACTTTGTATTCGTTTCCGTTTGCCAATTTGCACTTGTAATGCTTACATGCATCAAGATGCTGTTTTGCAAGTCATTAAGTCAAACTGAACTTGATATCGGCCTAATGCCAAATGGCTGTCATGATTATCGTTCAGTGCACCTACAACAGCAGCAACAACAGCAGCAACAAGAGCAGCAACAAATTCACACAAATCCTTAACAAATCCTCAGCAAATTCTCATAAATTGCAATTGGCACGTGACTGGCAACTGGTTTGTGGTTGCCAAAGGGGGGTGGTTGGGTCGTTTATCTTTCTCATGATTCTGTTGTTGTTATTGTTGCTGCTGTTGCTGTTGCTGCTGCTGGCGTCTGACAAGGCTGTCACGTTTTGCGGCACAAAGCGATTTCTCTTGTTGCACGATTGCAATCTGCATAAATTAATAAACTACAACAGCAGCAGTAGCAGCAGCAGCAGCAGCAGCAGGTGCAATCACATGTCCGTCCAAGTGTCGACCGAGCCGCACCTTTTAATCAAATGCTAGATGAGCTGCTAAACTGGCGTCAATTGTGCTGCATCACGCGGTGAACTTGTAATGTGTGTGTACAAATTTCAGTTCCTGTCTAACCATTTACGGCGAGTGAAATGCAACGTTAACTCGTCCAAGTCAGAGTGTAAGTAAGTTATCGATCGATGGCAGCTATCGATAATTTGTTGGGATCGATCGATCGCACGCGCTGCTCAAATGTAAATGCGTGCTTAGAACAAAATACAAACTACATTTGCCAGTTTAGCGTCTTTGTTCGCAACGGATTTGACTAATTGATATGTTGAGCGCGTTGCCAACAACTTGGCGCGGAACCAGCATGGCCATTTAACTGGCTAGCTGGCTGGCTGGCTGGCCGGCTGGCTGGCTGACCAGTCGCCCAAAACGACGTCGATAAATGCTGATGATGATCATAATGTCGTTCATAGAACGCATACGTCAACATTGTGCGTCCCATGTTTGTCTCAATTCAATGTCACACACAACTGAATGCCCCTTTTGTTCTACCCAACTCTTCTCTCGCTTATCGCTCCTCTCTTCTGTTAGTTCTGCCAAGTTGCATTGTATTTACAAGCGCAATGGCTCAATGACTGGGCCTAATCAAATGTCTAGTCGGGGACCACAGTCGGCGTATCGTTTGCTAAACAAGCTCTTTACAATTGATCATTTTTTGTCTGCTATTTAATGCCGTACACTGCATTTAAATGAAGTTTAGCTTTTCGGCTCAGACACGATTTGTTTTGTTGATTAATCCATTTTAGCTGATTCATGTAGGGTACGAAATTGTCTTGTCTCTTTACTTAAACTGTCACCTGCCGTTTGACAGGTTACAATACGTTTTCATCGATAAAAATCACATCGTATTACACACAAATTGACATCGTTAGTGTAAACAAAGGTAAAACGTTTCAACTGCATATACGTGACTCATTAGTAAGTGCAGCATTATGATTAAGCGTGTCGCCCATCACAGACACAAAAGCCTGGCGTCATAATCGAAGGCGTATACATAATAAATAATGTCGAAGGTTAATTGTGGTTCATTGAAATGAGCTCAGCTGGAGCAGCAGCAGCAACAACAGCAGCAGCAGCAGCAGCAATAGCAACAGCGTCATCATCATCAGTGTTTCTGTCTGCCTGGCCTAATTAAAATAGCCCACGACCAACATGGGCGCCAGAAAAGTTTTACGGCAGCTAAAAATAACAGATGGAGAAAACTTGCCAAAAAGAAAAACCTGGCGAAAAACTTGTTCGTTACTCCAATAATGACGTATTTGGCTAATTATAATAGTTAAAGCACCCAACTGTAGCCCGCCCCTATTAAACAGAAATTGAACAACAAACTGTATAAAAGTTGCCCAAGAAAATTCTATAGCCGCAAAAAATTCGCGTGCGTCACGCAGCGCTTAGAAACAGCAACGAAAACAGTCTCTAGAATCGAGAGTCGAGAGTTGCCGTCCAGTCAATCAATAACTTTAACTAAAAACCCAACAGCAAGCTAATAAAACAGCACATCATGACTAGGAAAGTGTTTGCGCAACGAAAAAAAAAATAAAAGTTTGATTGATTTGAGCAAACAGCAGCAGACCAAAACAAAAAAAAAAAAAAACAAAATTCAAATGAAAATGAAAAGTCACGTTGCGTGTGCGCGACCTTCACGAGGTGTTAACAAAAGGATACCATGCAAGCTGAGCAGGTAAACAGTTAAAAAGCTAAACAGGATAACCTTGCCATTTTGAAAAGGCGTATGCAAAAAGCAAATGTTAACAGCGCAAGCAAATGATATTTCTGTGTGTGAAACATCCTTATAAAGCCGCATCCAAGGTCACAGCGCCATAGAAAAGCAAAAACTAGTTAACAAAGTGCTAGAATTGGCAATACTCTGTACGAAAATACCCTCACAAATATATATGTATATTTTAGTAACATTCGAGTAAAAAGTGTAATTTGTTTATACCGGATTTAAACTTGCAACAGGGCATAAAAACAGCCTGCAAATAAGCTGGGAACAGCTCAGGAAAAAAACCAAAACGAAATGCGATTCCTATTTTTTTTCTCATTTGTTAGACAGCCAACTTGTTGGCAAGGCGTAGCTGGAGTTTTGCATAAAACACTTGGGTTATCTTCAAATCTAGCGCTTTATTTATCGCCAATGTGGAATTAACAGAGGGCAAAAAGCGTAGCGAAAGACACCTTGGCAAAGTTTGGCGGCTAAATGTCAAATGGGAGTTATGGGCATTAGCAGCTGACAAAGTTATTAGCTAGCCTTTTGGGCCAGTCTCAGTTGTGCCACGTATTAGCGCGATTAGAAAGTTGCGCAACTCGGTGGCACCTTTTTCGCGGCTCAATTGGCCCAGTTTAGCGCCACGCTCCCCGCGTTACACAAACCCACTTAATTAAGGAGAGGGAGGGGGTCTCGATTTGACTTCACTTTGTAAGTGATGTAACCATTAAAAGAAACAGTCAACGCACAACAACAACAACTGGCCAACTAAACGAGTTGGTCAAGTGTTGGCTACTTGCAGATCTATGAAATCTATTACCTGTTAACAGCCTGCACTGAATCACTTTCTCAATGCGTCTATGAAATAAGGTCTAGGCTTAAATAGTTGCGCAGTTGCAAGCGCTGGTCATTGATCCCAGCGCTGCTTGACCCAAATCAAGGTGGAAAATTTAAAGCGTCAGCAAACGCACCCCAAACGTACCTAGACCTAGACACGCATACTCGTAAAACACACACACACACACACACACTAGCCCACACTCAACCAGCCAACTGAGTCACCCTCTGGCCCTTCCTTGTTGCCGGGCAAATACAATTTTCTCATCAATTTCCGGTCAAGTAAATAGTAGGAAAATGAAAGAAAAAAGTCGAAAAATACTACGTTCACTGCTTGTTTATAATTTATGCATGTCCTGGTCTTGTTTGGCCGGAAATAAATGGTACGAGAGCTAGTTGCCGCCTTTGAGTGCCACCCGGGCAGGGTCAAAACACACGCCACAGAGGCGTGAACCCAAAGGTATTTCCACTACTTTTTGGTCTGGGGTCAATGACTGTGATAGGCAGGCATTCGAAATGTACAATTGCATTACTAACGCACGCAGACGGTATTAGGGCTTGTAATTCGCAATCAGTTTAAGCCGATTATCGCTGGTAAGGATCTTGCTCGACACAAAACAGCAGCAATCAACGAATTCTTGCAGAACTTTAAAAGCAAACTCAAAACATTTCTCAAACACACACAACATGTACGTCGTACACAGTGACTAACAAAAGTTTGCGTACACTTTGGTAGTTTGTTTAAGTTTATTTTATTTTTTTTTTGGCTTTGAAAATGTAAATCCCTTTCGGCATTTCGTGGCAATTGCAGCTGCTACCTGGCACAAGTTTAGTTCAACTGTTCAACTGTTCAACTGGGCTGCGGCCTGAGGGGGCGTGGCCAGTGAGCCAGTATAGCCAAAGTAGGCAAGCAGGTCAGTCATAGACAAATGGCGAGCGCTGCAAGCAATATTCATATCAAGTGTCTGCTTCTAGTTCAGCTTTGAGCTCCTTTTCAGCTGTTGACATTTCCATTTACATATTGTGCAGCAGCAGCAGCAGCAGCATGGGACAACATTGAAAATTGTTGGCACATTTATTATTATTATATATGTACGAGTGTGTGTGTGTATGTGTGTGTGTGTGTGTGTGTGTGTGTGTGTGTGTGTGTGTGTATTCACTTCTTTTGTGTTTTTGCAAATCGTGTCAATGTCTCTTGTGTGTGTTTTGTCATATTCACAAATTGAAGTGCAATTTCAACGTGCGCTGATACGTGAATCTAAGCAACGATTTACATTATAATTTATATAATTTGAGCGCTTGTCTGATCTGTAATGTGAACTGATTATTCGATTGCTATTGCAGCAGTTCTGAATGCTTATTGATAAATAAATCAATTGCTTTGCCAATTAACAATCAAAAATGATTGCATTTCAAATATGGCTGCTACTCGCAGCGTATTAATCAAACGTATGTATCTATATATATCATATATTTGTATCGACATGTTATATAAACACCTGTATTGAGTGTCTGTCCTTATCGTGTGTCATATCTGCAATTTATGAAGCCATTTCCGTCTCGCACTTCCGTTTCGAAATCCTCACGAATGTACATTTGTTGTGACGCATTTCATTCGTTTTCGGAACATTCGAAAGGTTCGTCAACACCCATGATTCATGAAACATTTGGCTGATAAGTTCATAAGCCACTCATTCAATGCGTGCTTGCCAACAGGTACTTCTACTTCTCGTATGCTGGTGTGTCTTGTGTTCTAACATATCTTATCAGTGAGTGGTGCAAACACAAGCAAACTCTAATTGTGACTGGGCCAACTCATCAGCGGTTGCCTTCAATTTTGATCAGAGTCACTGCTATATTGGCCCGCGTCAACAAAAACATGTTCAATGTGTAAATCAGGGCCAGAAGCCGGTTGAAAAATTTAATGCAAATTTTAATTGGAATTTCAAAGCGCGTGTTTGCCCCGGCGGCTGCTTTCATGTGTTTCCCACGAGTTGCAGTCGAAGCGCTTGCAGCTCATCGTTGCATTTACTGCATTCAAAATGCGGCAATTATGTTAATTGCATAATGCATAAGCCGAGCATTCAGCACTGGAATGTGCAAACAGCTTAGTTCAAGAACAATGTCAACATAATGACTCAAAATATGGGAATTACCAAAATATATATTTAATAGAATATAAATTCAACTTGAACCCACCAGCATCAAACAAGATTAGGTCTGAGACTTATATATTCGAGAAGCAGTCGAGATTAGGCCTGAGATTGAGACTGCATCCCATCAAAGCGTAAATTCACCAAAAGTGATAAAGAAAATGTATTTAATTAAGAGAAGATTAAAAAATGCCAAAGTCATGACTCAAGGCCACAGCTAATTTGCCGAACTGATTCTCTAATAGTTTTTTGAACTCACAAAAAAATGTATAATTTTGAGTGTGACGCAAACCGAATGCAAAATAGATAATAAATCCAAATATACAATATCGATGATAAAGTATACTGATTGATGTGCTACGTAAAACGTATGATCTTTATAGGAAATGCGAAAGCTATTTAATCTGAATTTTCCAGTCATTATACTCCTGTTCAAGGCTATCAAAACAGTGACTGATATAGGAAAAAACAGTAACCCAAAGAGCGAGAAAGAGAGATACAGAGAGAGCACAAGAGAGAGAAAGAGAGAGAGAGAAAGAAAGAGGGATAGATTAATTTTATTGTGTAATAATTTTGACAGCAAGGCGGAACGCAAATTGCAAATGATTTGCATATCGCTCTTTGTGTACGCAGTTCTGCTACTGATTCTGGAGTTGTTCGATTCGGTTGTTTTTTTTATTTTTATATATTTTGTGCTTTTGCCCAGATTGATTGCCGCTTGTCAGAGTCATGTTTACAGGAAAAGCAAAACAAAGCCACAAAAGCGTCTGCCGCGCTCGAGTTCATTTACCTTTTGAGGCGAGCAGACTAAGGCCCTTTCCCCACACCCTCTCCAACTCCTCCTCCTCGCGGCAAAGTGACCAGTTGTGGTTACCACACGCCAAAACGGCAGCACCACCCAGTTTATTAAGTATGTGGGATGGGACAACGCCACGCATACTTATGCGATTCAACCGAAAAAGTTTACTTCCTCGGCAAAATAAAATACAATATCATAAAAAGTTCTATAGGCATGTATAAAAATAATAAAATTAAAGAAAAAAAAAAAAAAAACAACAACTAAAAATAAAAAACAGAATCTGTGCAGTCAGCTGAGTGGATTGTTTGGTATTATGCAAGCGCCATTTCTGAGTGATTCTTTATTTTATATGATTTTTTTTTTTGTTTCGATAGTATATGGCACAGTATACCACACATGTATATTGTATATATGCGGTTCTCTTCAGCTGCCCCATTAAAATGTGCGACACATGGGGCAGACGGCACATGTTTCACATGCCAAATTGTTATTACGTGCCCATCAACAATAAGAAGAAAAAAAATACCTAAAGCGACTTTCCAATTAAGCTTAAAGTTTAATAATAATGAATATAAAAGTTTTTTTTTTGTTTTTTAAATTGTATATATTTAGTATAAATACTAATTGCTGCAATTAGTGCTTGATTCTAATTGCTTTTTGGGCTGTGCTTGGAAAGAGCCGTTAGGTGCATCTCTAACCTCGCATTGTACACATTGTGCAGGTGGCACTTCCTATGGAGAATGTTCTCTGTTCTCAGTTCTCTGTTCTCTGAGATTCAATGCTAAACACAATTAGCTGTTTTAGAAAGATTTGCGTTACAATTTAATTCAACTTACATGCGTTCAATTAATTGCAAAATCGCCATAAAATGCTAAACACAACAAAAACAAAAGCAAAAACAAATACAAATAAGAAAACACTTCCTTAACTTGACTCAACTTGTCTCGTCTCAATAGAGCTGAGCTGTGTTGTGCTTAGTTTCTGTTTTCACACCTCAAATCGCATAATTAAAGTCACGTAACTGTGATTCGCTCTTAGTATTAAGCATACGCCCAGTTCTGGCCTGATGGATGGGGGTTCAAAGGGGGTAGGTGGTATGATAAAACATTACCATGCCAGGCACTTGGTCATAAATTATGCAAGTCAGATAGTTTTTGCTGCTGTTTCTTTCTTATGCACTCGCAAAAAATGTGACGAATGACGAATGAGGCCTGCAAAGAGAGTGGGAGAGGGGGTGAGGTGGACTGTGGGTGGTGGTTGTGTGCCGGACAATTAGAAGGCAGGCAAAACGTGTTTTATCTGATCACAATAAATCAACGCTAGTCAACCACCCGTTGGCAATATATTGATCATGCCCCATGCCCCATGTCCCAATGCCTCAACTTAAACGCACAACTCAACTGCTTATTGCTTGCCTCTTGCAGATCTACCTGTCGCAGTTTGGCTACCTGCCGGCCTCGGCTCGCAATCCGGAGAACAGCGGGCTGCAGGATAAGCGCACATGGGTGAACGCCATACAGGAATTCCAGAGTTTTGCTGGACTCAACATCACCGGCGAACTGGATGAGGAGACGATGAAATTGATGTCACTGCCACGTTGTGGTGTCAGGGATCGAGTCGGCACTGGCGACGGTCGATCCAAGCGCTATGCCCTCCAGGGCAGTCGCTGGCGTGTGAAGAACCTCACCTATAAAATCTCCAAGTACCCGAAGCGTTTGAAGCGCAACGATGTCGATGCGGAGATTGCACGTGCCTTCGCTGTCTGGAGCGAGGATACCGATCTAACCTTCACCAGAAAGACATCGGGCCCCGTGCACATTGAGATCAAGTAAGTGCTGCAAAACAAGCATCTGCTTTTATACTAAAAAATCTTAGTTTATTACTATATACATTTCTAACATCTTCTGTCTTTCAACCTTCTGTCTCTCTCTCTCTCTCTCTCTAGATTTGTTGAAAGCGAGCATGGAGATGGCGATGCCTTCGATGGACAGGGCGGCACTTTGGCCCATGCTTTCTTCCCCGTTTTTGGTGGCGATGCGCATTTCGATGATGCCGAATTGTGGACCATTGGATCGCCGCGTGGCACAAATCTGTTCCAGGTTGCTGCTCACGAATTTGGTCACTCCTTGGGCCTGTCGCATTCGGATCAGAGCTCAGCGCTGATGGCGCCATTCTATCGTGGCTTTGAGCCCGTCTTCAAGCTGGACGAGGATGACAAGGCAGCGATACAATCGCTGTATGGACGCAAGACGAGTCAGCTGACGCCCACCAATGCCTTCCCGCCCACCACGCACAGACCATCGTACACGCCGCCCAAGGTGCCTCTGGATGACTCCATTTGCAAGGACTCCAAGATAGACACGCTGTTCAACTCGCCGACCGGCGAAACGTACGCATTTAAGGGCGATAAATACTACAAGCTGACAACGGACTCCGTTGAGGATGGCTATCCGAAGCTCATATCCAAGGGCTGGCCAGGATTGCCCGGCAATATCGATGCTGCATTTACGTACAAGAACGGCAAAACGTACTTCTTCAAGGGCACTCAGTACTGGCGCTACCAGGGCACCCAAATGGATGGTGCGTATCCCAAGGAGATTAGCGAGGGCTTCACCGGCATTCCAGATCACTTGGACGCAGCAATGGTTTGGGGCGGCAACGGCAAGATCTACTTCTTCAAGGGAAGCAAGTTCTGGCGCTTCGATCCCTCCAAGCGGCCACCCGTCAAGGCCACCTACCCCAAGCCCATCTCCAACTGGGAGGGCGTGCCGAACAATCTGGATGCGGCGCTCCGATACACCAATGGCTACACCTACTTCTTCAAGGGCGACAAGTACTATCGCTTCCACGATGCACGCTTTGCGGTAGGTTGAACTGATAAATTAGTGGATTAGTCAAGATCTGCAGATTTACAAACCAAGTGAAGAATCTGAAGTATTCATAACCAAGTGAAGAATCTGAAGTTAATAGATAAATAACCAAAAGAATCTGAGAATACACTGAAGAATCTGAAGTATTGAGTCTGTAAGTAGCCGAATAGTCTGAAGACTTAGAAAGGAACTCAATATTAGAAAGGTAAATCTGAGCTCTAAATAGATCTGAAGAAATTGATTGAAGAATTGAAAGTATTTATTATTATTATTATTAGTATTAAAATACAGTAGCTCTTAATTCGAAGGTTTACAATTTCTAAACAGAATACACAAATGAAGAATCTTAATATTGCAAACTAATGAAAGTTTACTTGCGATAGTTCGCAAACTTTCCAAAAGATTCGAAGCCAGCAGGAAATTCGAATTGAGGTATTCTTAGCCCCAAAATTGTACTGATGCTATCTACTCTCTATCCGATAACAGGTGGATACGGCAACGCCGGCATTCCCGAGACCAACGGCGCACTGGTGGTTCGGCTGCAAGAACACGCCCTCGTCCACAGGTAATATTATTGAGGATGATCGAGAGGAGTCTGAGCAGCGCTCACAGCTATATGCTGATGATGGTAATGGTGATATTGACCTAGAAGCAGGTGAGTGGGATCGACTCGGCGGTAGTTTTGTTTGAATCCAATCGCACACAATTGTAACTGAACTGTAAACAAGATGAAAGAGAAAACTGTATCGAATCCATAGAAAGATCGAAACAAAAGTCAAAAAGATCTCATAAACATGAGTTGTATGAGTTGTTACTTAACCAGCCAAGAAATGTTTAAAAATCCTTCAAAATCTTTCAAAAGTCTATATGTACACATAGACTCAATGATTAAATGAATTTATACAAATATGGTATGTTTAATTAAGTTTATATATGTATGTATGTATCGTACTGTAGTCAATTCTATTACTGAACTCATTGTGTTTGTTTTTATTGCCAACAAATAACAAATGAACGTAAAAAAAAAAAAAAAATGAAAGCAGAAAATACATTATTATTTTTTTACTGAAAACTAATTCTCAAATTGTGTATGTCCAATTTCTTCTCATAGTACTCGTAGTTCTTGTAAACAATTAGATATATTCTCTTCTGTGGTGTTTTACTCTAGTTTGTTTCAGTGTACTCAAACTGAACCAGCTGAAGGTTACACTTTCCTCTCAACACTTGTACACTTGTACACTCCTAACCATGCCCATTATCCCACTATCACATCAAAATCTGCCTAATGGTTTCTGAAGCACCCTGTTAATTTTAACCATTTTATTTTATCACCAAGTTACTGATTAACTATACTAATATCAACATTTTTAAGAGTTACCCATTTTTATGATTTTTTTATTTTTTTACTAAAGAAAACTTTTTTATTTTATTTTATTCATATCTTATTTATTATAATTTCAGTTACTAACTTTTCTAATTTATCTAAAAATTGTTTTTACGGCTTGGTATTCCTAACATTAACTAACTTTTCTTCTTAGCTTGCTAACCAACTCAATTTAGCATACCATGTTAAGAAAACAAATCGAACAATTTCAATAAAGGTTTAAAAATGATCAAATAATTACAATAGGTCCAATGTCAAATAATAAAAGATAATATAATAATCATATATTGCTTACAGTGTATAAAAAAAAAGAAACAAACTACTGGTCAGTCGGTCCCACTAACTTCACCCCCGCTTCCTCTTGGGGCGGCACCAGGCAATATACCATAACTATCTACTTAGATTTAAGTCTTAACGTGCACCTGAGACTTTGCATGCGCCAACTAACTAATTAATCTAGCTTTAGCCTTGCATTTAGATGTTCCTAATTAACCTAATCAAACACTTTACAACACCACAACACTAGGCATATACTTATACTTAACAACACTTTTACAACACTATTTGTTAAGCACCACAATGAAAACAATTACCTAGTAATAAAATCACACAGAGTGTAGTTCTTGCAATCCTCAGTACGTACACCCACCCACCCACTAAGTTTAAGGTATCTTATGTAGTTCTATGGTATTATTAATATTTTGTGATTCCACCCAACTAAAAATATGTATGTATGTATATCCTGTAGTTATTATGGCATTTTTCAGCACTCTATGCGTAAAACGTTTTACTCGAAATCGAAACCAAAAATGTTGTTACCCCTTTGATACCTGTGGCACCAAATTCAACTGGCTAAAGGCTTCCTACTTAAAGAACTATATCAAACAAAAATCATTTTAATTGCATGTTTTATCAATAACACTAAATACACGACCCGCATGACCTACACCTACACCTACACCTACATCTACACATACACCTACACCTACACCTACACACCCATCCACAGAAGCATACACTGTAATATGTTATGTATGTGGTCCACAAACCGCTATGTTTTGACCCAGTTTGCACGATTGCCGGAGTACTGTTGGCCAATTGGAATAATTAACACTGCATGCACGTGCTTGTTGCCCATAACCCGATCAATTTACATAAACCGAACTGAACTTAAGATGTTGTATATGTCATGTATAAATGTATTTCTTGCAGGCTTTAAGAGACGCGGATAAAAACGAAACAGAACAATTAACATCAAACAACAACAACAACAACTGAACAGCAACAAACCTAATAAAAACGAAAAGAACAACAATAACAACGAACTCCAAAACATACACACACACACACACACACGCACACACACACACAATCGAAACAATAAGAAAAGCAAGAAGACAAAAGTAACGCGCGCACATCGAAAGCTTTACCACGCCCGACCGGCAAATTGCTGCTAATGTTGCTTTTACTGCACTTCGCTCTCTTTCTGTGTGCTACGACAATTAAAAGCTGCCCGCCCATCAGCTGTATGTGTATGTGTGTGTGTATATACGTGTAATTAAGCTTTATTTATTGTAGCTCTTTGTGCTTCATTTTGTATTTGTATTTATGCTAGTTGATCGAACTGATTATTAGTTATCACCATTGCTGTCGCTTGTCTCGTATCGCAATCGCATCATTCGTAGAGCAAAATGTTTGTATGTTCGTAGTTACGTCACAGCACACACTGCGCACGCCCCAAACTTCCCCCGCTGTAGACGCACCAATACACAGACAAGCGCTTCAAATTGCTGGAATTGTTATTTATGCGATTATCTCTTATTTTGTTTCTCCATTTTTTTTTATTACATATGTGTATCTCTCATTTCATTTGAATTGGGCGTGCTCTAATCAAAACTGATCAAATTCATCCATGTATTGCCATAATGCAGTACCGCGGTTCCCAAATACGAATCCAAATACGAATACGAATACGGTGCCGGGTACGGGCATGGGTCTGCTGCCCGGCTGGATGTGGAGTCTGACGAACCGTTACTTTTAAAGAGCGCACGCAACCTCCAACTCCAGAGTTCCTTCAGAGTTTCGTGTTTTCTGTTCACCAACAACAACAACAAGTACTACAACAGCAACAACTATATACATAACTGTGCTAATATCCTATATATATATATTTATATATACATATGAACACTGTTTGTATTAGTAACGATACAAAGCGCGTGCCTTAAGTTGTATTACGTCCATATACATAACTCTATGCCTGCTTGAGTGATCTCTGTCTCAAAGTAAAGTCACAAAATATATAATATATAAATAATTAAAAAGAACCACACACACATACACACCCAAAACACATACAAATGCGACGCCCAGAAATAAAAGCCTGCGTCGCTGCCGCCATTGAAAAAACCGCCCAGAATACAGTCAAGCAAACGACAAAATTCAATAACGAATCAACTTAAAAACATTTGCGCACAGAGTGGAACAGTATGTTGCATTAATTACTTATATATACATATATATTTTTATTCGTTTCTTAAGATAGCTTAATTTTAGTTCTACTCTTTTTACTTATTTTGACAGTTATGGTTTTTTTTATTTTTTTATTTTTTTTGGCCAACACACAAAATCTTTACACAGCTGTGTCCAAAAGTGTTGCACTTAAAAAATTAAACCTCCACCTCCGTCACAGAACTTAGTTTAGATATACTACACAGTACTTAAGTTTAAGTATTAAGAACTTTGATATTTAGTAAATATTTTCTAAATTGTTTTTTTGAACTTTCTTATTTTTCCACAATACAAATGAACATAGCAGTCGGTGATCACCAAACCAATGATGAGCCCATCGAGCCCGAAAAGTCGGAACGAACTGGATCTGGTGCGATGTCCATTCAGCTGTCCAGCAACTCCGGTGCCAGTGTGCTCCTGACCACGTTCCTGCTCTGCTGTCTATCCAAGTATATAATTAGCTAAAATATCTGAACATTGCGCAATTCTTAGGAACATTTCACTGAGATAAATATTCAATTTTAGTAAAGTTTTGAAAATTTTACTGCACTTTGCAAAATCTTGATAGGCTACCTACAAATTTGAATTGTGTATTCGAATAATACGAACCTACATATTAACAAGAAATCAATCATATATATATAAATATATATATGTATAGATATATATGTATCATGTGAAACAGGTGCCTTAAATTCGTTGTTGTGTAAATACAAATTGCAAAAAGCAGCATTAAATGTAATTAAACTTTAATCTTAAATAGCTATTAACATTCCAAGGAAATACAAGAATGCAATATAAAACGAAATAAACAAAAAAGATCAGGATTCATATCATAGCCGAAACTACGAGTATGTTATGTAACTTAAAGATGACAATTTGCGATATTAACTATAGCAAGCCATATGAAAAACAAAAAAATATATTTTAAAAAATACTAAAAATCGATAAAGCAACAAATGATAAACGTATTTTAGTTGAATTCGAGTTGTTACACTCACTAAAAGAGCAATTCAATGTTGTTTAGAGCTGCGTAACAATTAAGTATAGAAACTAATGCTGTTTATCGAAAGGACTTATGATCGTAAGGAAACCATAATAAAAGATCATTATTAAATTAAGTCTAAGCGTAAGATTATAAGAATTCTGTAAGCGATATTTGTTCGGGTTTAATATTTAAAACCGAAATATTATTATTTAATTTACATATTATTATTATCGTGTTACAATTTATAAAAATTGTACGTTGCAAACGTGATCGAAAAACATTAAATAAAAATTAAAATGAGTGTTAAAACCCTAGAGCTCTATGTCTACACTATGCATACAAATATGTATGTACAAACATAATGTACATACATTCATAATGCTCATTTATGTACCGTAAATTAGGTCTCATACGTTAACAATTTTGAGGTGTGACAGTTCGAGAATTCAATCCTCTACATCCAAATTAGCTCCGACCTGCACATGTACGACTTGCAAATTGGCTGATCTTGGAAATTTCTTGATTGTGGTCTCGTTGATTTGCTGCCGTGCATTTGATTTTGCACTTTTGCGGCGACCGAGACCTGAAAATAACCAGCCAAAACAATCGGATGCTAAGTAGGATATACGGGACAATACAATACAATAACTTATATAGGCAGATTAGAGGTTAGTTGAGTTGTTGCTGGTGTTTACGTTTGATGGGATCCTCCATGCCGTCAATGGGGCAAGTTGTGGGCCCATAAGGCGAATTTGAATGGGCATCTGGCAAAGAATCGGGTTCAGGCTCAGGCGTACTTTCAGTTATGCCTAAATAGTCATTTTCCATTTTGATATCATAGCTGGAGCACGGTGATAGCGATCGATGCATATACGAAGACTTGTGTGTTGCTAGATCCGATTGTGGCTCTACTTTGGTAATGGTATTAACTGTAATTGAAGCAGCGCTAGCTTAGTTTAGTTTACTTAGTTCAAATCATCAGCAGCGAGTCGACATTACCAATATTGTTCTCCCGCTTCTGTAAGCTCCGGATGATGGCTCCATGCTCGGCCACTTGCAGTTTCAGTCGCTGGATTTCCTTCTCCTGTGCAGTCATTGTGCTTTCGCGTTTCTTTAGCACCAAACTGCTGTTAAGTCGTGTCCCGCAGTGCTGCTCTTCATCGCTGTCAATTATGGTAATGGACTCCACCGGCGGCGGTGAAATCACGCAGCATTCAATATTATCATCATCCGTTGCAATTGTGTCGATGGTCAGACTGGATATGGCGTCTATGGGTGCTGGTGTCGGATTGCCCTGGCGCTTGCGTAGGCGTCGGTAGCGTACTGTGAGCACGCGATTATTTAGGGTACGACTCACTAGATCCCTAAATGCTTCCTTGGCAGTTTCGGCATTGGAGTAGCGTACAAATGCGTAACGTGCCCGTTTCTGTCGCTTCATCACGCCAATGTCCACTCGCATGGAGTTGACAAACGCCTTAATCTCAGCAGCGTTCATGTTGAACGGAATATTGCTCACGTACAGTGAACAGGGATCAATGCAATCGGCCTGCTCCTCCTCCGTAAAAGTTTTCACCTCGGCATGCAAATAGCCCTGGCCAAAACGCACTTTATTTATCTCCTCGATGGTGCGTTCCACATTCGCACCAACCTTGAGATGGACAAGGCAATATCGCTGTGCAACATTAATGGGAAATACCACATCCCTGATGCTGCCAGAGAATCCGCTGACGGATGCAACACTTATTTGGGGATCGGGAAAGCGTATAAGCAGCGTTGGTGCGTATTGTGATTGCGTGGTCAGTTCACGTTCTAACTCTAGAGCACGCAATGCACTTTGACGGCGTAAATTGGCGATTGCCTTGCGATTAAGTCTAACATCTTCTGGAAGGGATTCGAGAATTAGCTGCTTGTCATAAATCAAAATTAAATCAAACCTCCCGGCGTCTGCCACTTACTCTGCGAATTTGTTTTGGAATCTATGTCGGATTCAAAGAGTGCTGTCCCATTATTATCCTCATTAGCGGATGTCTTCGAATCAGTATTTGACATCCAAGAGCATAGCTTACTGCCGGCGGGTGTCTGCCGAAACATGAACGACTCCAATGAAGGTGCACAACCGTTGCCAGTGTATGGAGCAACATGATTACTGGGCGATAGACTACCGTCGCGATGAACTTTATTGCCATTACAGTCCGGTTGCTCGGCTACATTCTGCGGCATATTACATTCGGGCTGTGCGTCGCATGAATCTTTGTCAGTGCCTGAACCCAAGTCCTGATCTATCCGCAACTCATCTTCTTTTAGATTTGTACCGCGCTTTGCATCTGGGCCATCGCCCAGACCCGTTATTGATGACGAACGTTTTAGGTCCATATCTTTCCCGAAAAAAACGATTAATATTTCAGAACTGTGCCGTATAAAACTAATACGTTAAAATCCACTTTTATTTAATAAAATATCAGCTTCTTATCAAAATACAAGTTTACTGTGTTGAGTTGCTGACATAGTGGCAACGCCAAACGCACAGCTGTTTTCAGTAAACACAATGTGTACTATGTGTGACCACAAAATATCATATCTGTTAAAATGAGTATGTTGTTCAACACCAAGAGGTGTAATCACCCTGTATGAAATAAGTTTGTTAAATAATGATTATTAATATAAACTGATAGCAAATGATACACGAACAGACTCGCAAAAAGTAAATTTTCTTTGCAATATGCCATAACATTATGCCCAGCATATGTGCTTCAGGTTGCGAAGTAAATATTTTGCTTAGGTCAAGCGCTGGTCGCGATCAGCATACTAGGCCCTATGTATGCAAAAATAAAGCAAAATGTGTGCGGCGCTTTTACGAAACAGCATTAAATGCTTCAATTTAAGAATAAACACAAGGGCTGTACCCAGATTAAATATATGGTAAGTAATTTGTGGAATTACTCCAAAGCTTGCACAATTTATGAGCAACACTTTATTTCAGCACAAGTGCCGCACGCTGCAAATGGCGCAGCATTGGTTCTGCTGATGTTGAGCGGAATCTGTTGCGAGGCGACAACTTGCCGGATAATTACCAATTGATTTACCGCGCGCCGATGGAGGAATATGTGGCATGGACCAAGAATGTGTCAACTGCCACAGTGACGTTAATTAGCTTGGTTGCCGCCTATCAATTGGCCACAACAATGAGCTTCATGAATATTGCCAAGAAAATTGATATTGCTGTACTTGTTTCAAATGAATCAGACATTTACTTCTTTGCAGCGGGATTTGTGCTAATTAACCTGGCCATTCGCGCATTTGTGGCTAAATATCCGCTGAGGATATACAAAAGTGCCGATAAGTAAGGCATAACTAAAGTGGATATCTGTGTTTGCAACAATTAAGTTGTTAATTTTCTTGTTCTTCAGATATGTGGCCGTCTACGGATCACAATTGCCGCTGGGCACAACTAAGCATTATTTCGAACGAGGCCAAATTTCAGAGTACAAAAATGTGCTGAATCCTTGGAGACACATCATGTTCAAACTAGACAATCGTTCGTCTATGCTTATGATTGATTACTTTAAGACGCCAGCGGAATTTCACCAGTTATTTAAAGAAAGCCAAGACTAACTTTAATTTGTTTATATAATAAAATGAAAGCCTGTTGATTATAGCATAATATATTATTTATCTGCATCCGTTCAGAAATTGTAAATAAATGCGCTGTGTTGCCACATTATTGACGGGGACATTGGCAGCACTGCAACTATCGATTCATACAAACTATCGATATGATGTCAACAATTGAACTCCACGTGCATAGCAAGTGTTTATGCTCGCAGAATGGAGCTTAAAAAAATGAAGCCACTGATAGATACAGAGCCGTCCGCCAATGGGAATGTACCCGGTATTAAGTCGGGAAAGAGACGCAATCCATTCAACACACAACGCTTGAAGGAAGAGAAGGAGCGCAGGCAGAAGAAACGAGCTCGTCTCATCGTGCGCAACATCAGCTACAAATCGACAGATGAAACGCTGCGCGAGCATTTTGGCCAATGGGGCACACTGGAGGATGTGCAAATCCTAAAGCGCGGAGATGGCAAGCTTGTGGGATGCGCCTTTGTGCAATACGAGACCATTAACCAGGCGACAAAGGCTATAGCGCATGCGAACGGCAAAGAAATGCTGGGACGTAAGGTGTTTGTCGATTGGGCCATTGGCAAGGATGAATATGCAGCCAAGCATCTGAAGGATGACGAGCCTGCTGACAAGAAACCCAAGGTGGAGCTCAAGGAGGAGACTGGAGACGAAGAAAATGGTGTCGGAAGCGCTGACGAAGATGAAGATGAGGAGAAGCCTGAAATGGAAATTGGCGACGAAGTAGGAAATGATTCAGTTGCAGAACACGATGATGATGATGAGGAGGAAGAGGAAGATGACGAAGCTGAGGCAGATGACGGTAGCGATGACGATGAAAAGAAGGATAAAAAGGAGCTGAAGGCGAAACTGGAAAATCTGAAACAGGAAAAGCACATTTCCAATGATGTGCAACAGGGATGCACAGTCTTCATAAAGAACGTTCCCTTCGATGCGGAGGATGCGGATCTGCGGAAGGTGTGCCGTAAGTTCGGTGTGGTGAATTATGCGATCATCAATCGGGAATCAGTTTCCGGCCACTCCAAAGGCACTGCCTTTGTTAAGTTTAAGGCCAAGGAGTCAGCGGATCTGTGCCTGCAGGCTGGTACCGAGTTTACCCTGCTGAACGATGTGCTGGATCCACATCCAGCACTCAGTCGGGATGAAATCAAAACGAAGCAAACCAAAGACTCCAAAGATGATGCGGGCAAGGATTCACGTAATCTCTATTTAGCCCGAGAGGGTCTCATTATGGCTAATTCAAAGGCAGCCGACGGCGTGTCCGCCTCCGACATGGCCAGAAGACATGAACTGGAGCAGGTGAAAACGCAGGTGCTTAAGAATCTTAATCGGTAAGTAGTCAGCTATTATTTAATTACTTGCAATTCCCACTAATTCCTTTCCTTCAATTAGCTTCGTTTCCCGCAATCGTCTGTCCATACACAATCTGCCCCTAAACTATGACAACGAGAAGCTCAAGCAGATGGCAACCAGCTACACGGGCTTTCGTCCGCACGAGTGTCGAGTGATGCGGGAACAGAAAGTTACTCCAGAGCATCCGCAGGGCAAGTCGAAAGGATTTGGTTTCCTCTCCTTCGATACGCACCAGCGGGCATTGGCTGCGCTGCGCAAACTGAACAATAATCCCACTATTTTTGGCACACAGCACGTAAGTATATCCTGGATGCAGAGAATATAAGTCATCAGAGATTTGAGCTAAGCTGATTTCTTGTATTTCCCATAGCGACCGATTGTTGCCTTCAGCATTGAGGATCGCGCCGTGCACCGAATAAAAGAAAAACGCAACGAGCGTTCCAAGCAAAACAATCCCACCTACAAGTCCAAGCTGGAGCAGCGCAAGGAACGGCGGGAGCAGCAGCGAAAGGGTCAGAAGCCAACTAAGCCTACAACCATAGCACCACAAAACGATAACAAGGTCAAGCTTCAGAAGCACATAAAAAAACTGGAGGCATCGCGTGCAGCCAAAGCGGAAGGCAAGAAACAGCAGCAGCAAATGGCCAGTGATGTGCAGGGTGACTATGTGGGCACGGCAGCCAAACCGGGCACCTCGTTGCGCATGCGTTCCAAGAAAAAGATCATGGAGCAGGCGTCGGAGCACATGAAGCGCGTGAAGACCGAAAAGCGCAAGCAGAAGAACAAAAAGATACGCGAAACGCATCTGGCGGAGCGCAAGGCAAACAATCGACCCAAACAAGGACGCAAAAACGAAAAGGACGATCTGCGGCCATTGATTAATAAATACAAGAACATGATTAGCGGCAACGAGGGCGGCGGCGGCGTTACTGGCGGGGGCAAAGTGAAGAAACCCAAGCGCACCAAATGGTTCACTGATTGAGCTCCTCCACACGCGACTGTTATGTATATTAGCAATTAGAGATTTAGTCAGAAATGTTTTATAAATGACTGAGAAACCAGTTTGTATGTCGTCCACAACCAGCCGGATATATTTCCATATCCTGTGTCAGCAAACCTCAGAGTTTAATCTGAATTCAATGTGGAATTGTGTGTTGAAAGTGAATAAATTGCATCATAGTCTACTAATGGAAACAAGAGTTTATGCATGTTGTAAATTACAAATTAAGGCTATCATCAGGCTGCCCAATTTCACTAAGCCTCAATAACTATTCCAGCCAGAAGAAGCGTGATCCGTATTTGGCTGGTGGTGTTGGATAATCCGCTGGCAGACCGGGTGTGGCATCTGGATACGATGTGATTGGCTCCTTCTCGGGCGCCTTGCGTGCAGTCTCAATGACCTAAATCACATATTTGTTATAGCAATTCAAATTACCAGAGATAATCACGTAGATTAGCTCACCTTGGCACGCGCAAAATAACCATAGGAAGGACGCTCCCAGTCAAAGTTGTCCTTTACGCACTTGTCAAAGACACCCTGAGTCTTACGGCAACTGCGAATAACAGGGAGATTAGGATTCGATGAGCTGTAAGAAGAAACTAACTGATTGACTTACTGTCCGAAAGCCATTGTTCCGCTGCTCTTGTCCAGGCAAGTTGCGTATTGCATGAACTCCTCATGGCAGCTCTTCTTCACCTTGCGGAAGAAGTCCACGGCACAGCCGGTGACGGCTCGTCCCTCGCCCAGGCAGGCTCGCGGATCATCCAGCTCCTGCCGACAGAGCATAAACTCCTGCAAAAGAGGCACGCAAATCAAATGTAAACAAAACAATCGCCAATCGGTTTTGAGGTTAGGTTATATAACTGATTCTTGATGCCGTTCAACCGGAATACGTATACAAAAACTATATGAAGACATGCAATGCATGTTCTTAACCATGGCTTAAGGCCTCCGACATGGCTTCAATTTCTGGCAAATACTAACATTGTTGGCTGCTTCGCATTGCTTGCCCAAGTGAAAAGCACCAGCGCGCAGTGCAGCCGACGATAGATTCAGCTCCTGTGTGGACAGCTCTGCCTCCTCCGGCAGTGTTGTATTGCTTGTAATGACCATTACGTCGGAGTTGTGCTTTCCGATGCTTTAAATATACAGCAAAGCCGTTTCAATCGCAAACAAATGTGTTTATTTTGTCAGTTTTCGAGTCACAAATCTCGTTTCCAGCCAAAAAAACAGCTGTTTGCTATCGTGTTATCGATAGGCATAACCGTTTCACGCAAGTTCCCAGGCCACTGCGATAACCCCGACACTTGACAATCGATTGCTTTGCACGTTGAAGTGAAATTTAAAATCAAATTTACTCCCAATCTTGTCACAACCATAAAATATAATTTAATCCAATTTTCTCGTATTTTAATTTTATTCTTGCGCTTGTCCATTATAACATAAAATTTATTCGTTAATCTTATACACTTTTCAATTTGATGTCCACTGATGAACTCATTATTCTTATTTCTACTCGTTTCCTTGCTGAGCACATTCGTTATCCAGCAGAGTGCGTCAAGGTTTAAGGAGGACCATGACAATGTGAAGACGCTTAGTTACCCAACCTCCGCCAGGGAGATTGTCAAGGATCTCATTGCTAACTGGAACTCGCCGCTTGTGTATTTAAAGAATCGAGGATATCTCAAGACGCCCCAAATGGGCTTTGAAATGATGCTGGGCGAGAAGCATACAGACGAGGTGATGGCGTCGAAGGATAACAAGAAGATGCAACGAGTGGCACGATCCAGTGAAGAAGCCACCAACGATCTAAGCTACCTTTTTCGCACCCTCTTCTCATCCAGCGACAATAGCGTTTCGGATAAAATAAAATCCAAACTTGGCGTGCCGTGGGACATGAATGCACTCAAAAATTCAGTGCGCTCCGAGGCCCACAAATTTTACGACAATTTCTATGAGAAACGTCATCAGCAAGCATTAAATAGTAAGCAAGGAGAAGACAATACCGATATAGAAAGGCAAGTGGCACAGCTTTACCCATCGCTTGTAATCACACCCAACAAAGAACAAGAAAAATATATTGAGCCCAGCGAACAAGATGTGCACAAGGAACCGAAATTCCTCAATGGCATTGCCAAGCTCCTAACGAGTCGAGCCAAACCTCTTCCACTGCAATTGAAAGAACAGAAAAAAACAGTCCAAGAGGACAATCCAGCTACATAAATCAAGAGGATATTCTTATTTGCAGTTTGCTTTGATTTCATTAAGTTGATTCAATTCTTTATATCCATTATACTTTGAAATTTAAACACCTTCGATTAACTAGCAAAATAACAAATTGACGAGCCCTCAAAACCAGACAGTGGGAGCAGAGATGGGGAACAGAGCAGAACAGCAAAGCCAACTAATGCAAATTCATGGCTATCATTAGCAGCAATTAATTAAAACTAGTTTTTATTTGAGCCCAAACAACAAACGGGGCCAGTGTATAAAAAGCTGATGCCATTCTGATTCTTGTAGAAATTCATAGAACTTGCACAACATGTTGAGTCCTGTGAGTAACGATTGTTTTCTTGTGTATAGAATTAAGGAACTGATTGTGCAAATCCTTGAATCCCTAGAAACTGCTCATCTGGGCCTGCTTCCTACTGTTCATCGGTCTGGTCAGTGCCATAAGCCCCGGCTTGCTGAAGGAAGTCAGTCAACAGAATCAGAATGGTGCGAGCCAGCACAAGCATGAGATTAAGGTGGACAATGGCAGCAAGACATCCGCCCAGGGCAATGTGAATGGTCATACTCATGTACGAGTCACCCGTACGGCCGATTCTACCGGATTTCATCCACACATCAATTAAACCCTATTAGCAAAATTCGTTTGACTTGTTTACGAAAAAATCAAAAAACACAAATTAATAAAAAAAAAAACAAAATAAAAAATAATGAAAGCAATATTCAAAATTCCACAGAAAAAAGTAAGAACATTGCAGTCGTACATAAACGATTGAAAACTACTCTGTTCGTAGCGTAATATATATGTATATTTGGGAAAAGTTCATTTTCTTTATGAGCATAACGCATTTACATAAAACTATAAAAAATGTTAAAAATCAAAGATAAATTAATATTCAGTTATATAAATGAGTTAGCCAGCAATCGACCTTTCACATTTATGATCTGCTTTAAAACTGTATTTGGTAGAAAGGTTTCACTGGTTCCACAGCCAATATAATTCACTCTTAAATAATTTGTTAATCAAATTTAAAGTAATATCTATAATCTCTAAACTCAATTAGAATAAATTATCTTGTTTACAACTTCGAAATAATAATATTTTGATATGGTCTCAATCGTAAACATTGTTTATGTGAAAACGTGATAGGTGGTTTGTGTATACTCTATTCTCTTCGGAGTCCAGAGTACACAATCGAAATGTGATACAATTTAATGAAGGTAACCGTTCAAATTTATGGGACTCATTACATTTAAAATGAATATACAAGGCAGGTACAATATATTTATATAATCCTATATGTACTAATATATGCTATGTATAATATCGACTGGTTCAGCGGATTTGGGTATAAAAGCCTTTGGCTAATTGCAGTTGATACCAGAAAACGCAGCATGTACAAATACGTAAGTTGATACTGTTGTCACGACATTGAATGGTATAATTGCCACGCCCTTTTTTGAAGGCAATCCTTATTGTGGGCATGCTAATCGCCGCCAGTTTGGCCCACGACGATGACGCCCATGCGAAGGCACACGAGACAAAGAAGCAGGATGCCCATGGCAACTTTGCGTACAGCTTTGACGTGACCAACGGGATTGGGGCAAAGGAGGAGGGCGATGAGCACAATCATGTGCACGGCGAGTATCATTTTATGTCGAAGGAGGGCATTCCCATTGCGATAACCTATACAGCCGATGAGAACGGATATCAGGCGCATGGCGACGCGGTGCCAACGCCGCCGCCCATCCCAGCGGCCATACTCGAGTCGCTGGCCTACATTAAGTCGCATCCACCGCACAAGGAAGAGCCGAAGTCACACCCGGCCAGCTCACATGGACACGGTAAACATTAAGCAGTCCGATTTGCATTTCCGCCCCTCTGTTTGCCGCACATTCAATTGCAATTGGATGCGTCTCCATCAGTTGGACATAAAAATAAAACTTTACGACGCAAGATTTTCTCTGAAATGTTCTATGTTAAGTGTAAGGGGGAAAGGAAGGGGTTGAGTGCGTGTCACGCGTCCAACTCTATGACCAAAGTTCCCATTCCACTTCGGCAAGTCCATAAAATACGCATTGTCATATTAGGTTGTACATGGAGCGTGGTGGGTGGGGGGTGGTAGCCGGAAGGGATGGCCATGGAAGCCATTGTAAATGTTATATTCAAATGCAAGGAGATTTCATTGTTCGTCCTGAATGGATACCCATGTTGAACACGTTCAGGAAGTGACAACTTAATGGAATACCAAAAGCTCTCAGGGGATGTATAGGGCTTATCCGGGTCCTTCCACTTCCATAACTTTGACAAAACTGAACCGATTTTCACCAGGAATTTATTGTTGGTCATCGTTTACCCTTAAAATTGATTTGACTTACAAATTTTATTAATTCCGGAAAGGTTTTGATTTTTTCTTTATTTACTTTTATTAAATTAACAAACGGACAAATTGCATACCAAAATTTAATGATTCCATTTCTGACATCAAAATGATTATATTTGTACAAATTTTAATATCATGTCAAAAGGTGACCGATTCTTGCAAGGCATATCATTTTGGTAATCGTTATTTCTGTGGATTGAGCCAACTAAGTCAACGCCAGTAAGTTGAAAAATGTATTCTGTAAATTTGTTGAATCGATATCTGGTATGAAAGTTAGTCTATTATAATTATTAATTAAAACTCGTTTTTATTTGAGCTCAAGCAACAAACGGGGCCAGTCTATAAAAAGCTGATGACACTCTGATATTTGTTGAAATTCACAGAACTTGCACAACATGTTGAATCATGTGAGTAACGATTGTTTTCTTTTGTATAGAATTAAGGAACTGATTGTGCAAATCCTTGAATCCCTAGAAACTGCTCAACTGCGCCTGCTTCCTACTGTTCCTCGGTCTGGTCAGTGCCATAGACCCCGTCCTGCTGAAGCACGTCAATCAACAGAATCTCGATGGTGCAGGCCAGTACAAGCATGAGATTGAGGTGGACAATGGCATCAAGACATCCGCCCAGGGCAATGTGAATGGTATTCAAGGTGAATACTTTTTGCCCGCCGAGGATGGTCAGCCTCCCGTACGAGTCACCTACACGGCCGATTCTACCGGATTTCATCCACACATCAATTAAACTTGCTTACGCATAAATAACCCCATATTTGCAGTCTTCTCACAACCAATTCATTCGAAATATGGCTTCCAAAATTATCTGAATCTTAAAACCTTTGTTAAAGCTTAAATGCTTAAAGTGCTTAACTAATCTAAATTTAAAAAAAAAACGTAAGTTGAAAGGAAATTAGACTTTACTTTAAATGCAATAAAAAATAAAAAATGCAGTCTTTACAATTTGGCAGGGGTGCGTGCCAGCTCCATGTCTAGCGAGGGTGAATTTACCAGTTTGCGCACCATATCAAACTTAGGATTGTTCTTATCACGCACCAGATCGAAGATGACGCTTTCGCTGGTTGTTATCACACAGCCCGCCTGGCGCAAGCGTTCCAGAGCCAAGTCACGATCCTGTTTGAGGCGAGAGCAGCAGCAATCGGCAACAATGTACACATTTATGTCCTGTTCCCGCAGATCGATCGCAGTTTGTTCAATGCAGATGTGTGACTGCGCAAAAACAAGGATTGGATTTGATGAGAAACTAAGCGGATAATCTAAATAATGTAGACAACCTCAAGTCCGTACAGGACTACATCCTGTGGTTTTTCGCCAAAGATTTCTTTAATAGCGCTCTTCATCTGGGGCGTCATCATGCTAAAGTAGGTTTTATCAATAACGAATTTGGCATGATTTACGTCCAGCTCGGCCACAGTTTTCCCCAGTTTCTCTGGATAATGTTCCGTGACAAGCAATGGCACATCGAGAGCTTTTCCCGCCTTCGTCTGCAAATCGAATTAGTTTAATCTTTCGCTTAAGATAAGATACTTGCTACTGTGCAGCTACAAAGTTCACTTGCCAGCTTGTCCACATTTTTAATCATATTGTCGAAGAGCGGCATGCCGGGACGAAACTTTTCCTGAATATCGCACAGCAGAAAAAGCGTTTTTTTCGGGTTTAGGTGACAGCGTCTGAAGGCCATTTTTAGTTAATTTACTTCAACTAATTGGATTACATGAAACGAGGTAAATGATAAACATAATTAGATCGCATACTCAACTATGAGCACAACAAATGCTAGGCAAAACACAAGTAAAGACAGTATTATCTAACACAATCAGCAGCTATTTAATTACTCGAAAAGCATATTAAATATCTCACATCTGCTGTTAGGCACAAAGTTCCTCGAGGAGTGATTTTCCAATAAGCAAAGACAGCTGTTTCTTTTGCGATACGAAACGGTTAACCAATATCGATAATTATTTTAAAGACTATCGTTTTTAAGAGTTGCCACACTGGTTATTAAAGTTGAAAATTGAGATCGCTAGCGGTTAAGTGAAATTGCATAAATTGTGGTTGACAGAAGGGACGGAATACTAACCGTTTTAGTTCACTTAAATCCAAAAAGTGTATTTCATGCAGTTTTTATTTTGTATAATGGATTAGATAGCACTTAAGAAACAGTCGTTTATTAAATGCAGCCCAATGGACTTAAGCCAAGCCAGACTCATGCCCACAAAGTAAACAGCCAATAGGCATAGAGTAAACATTTATCAACACCCTCCACTAATCTTAAATCCCAGACAACCCTCACAGCCATTTTGTGGCACACTCAACTTGGGACTCGAGCTCCCAAAACCCCACGTGGCAATTAAACTAAATTGTGTGGACCCAGACAAAACTGCGCACACAGGTAGCTGATTTATATTCATAAGCCAGCAGAACAGCTGTGGGGCATTTCTGAATTCCGGATACTATATAAGCCAGACATTGTACGTTGGGAGGCATTTATAATTGAATTCCTTAATACAAAACAACCCCAACCACCCAGTCTTCGACAAAGCATTATAGTAATGAAGCCACAGTCAATTTCAATAACGCAATCAAATGCGTGCAATTTCAAAAACCACAAAACCCAAAACGAAATGCGTACCAAAATCCATTGACCATTGCCCAGCGATATACGCACTCTGCAGGCTCCATGTTGGAGTGTTTTTTATATTTTTTTTTTCGGATAACTTTGGATAACTTTGGCATGCCTGACACGTAGTTTTCGATGGCATACCGCTCCCTGGACTTGCCAACGCCTTGATAATGGAATGGCAATGGCCATTGCCCGCATTCACCCTCTGCCCAACACATCCTGTCTGTGTAAGTCGCATGCATATTTCAGCAATTTACGCTACCTTTTCCCCTTTTCTTTTTGGGCTACAGCTTCGGTTAGATGGGCGTGGCTAAGCTGTTAACCATCTATGAGTACAGTTCGCAGCAATTCTGGCTGCGTACATTATTTATAAGCCTCCAAACTTGCGGGCGCTGCAATTTAAAAGACCGAGTGTGCCACTCAACATCGTTACAAAGTTTCATCCGGAACTGAACGTGGACACTTGGCTTTTCTTGCTGAGTAGCCATTTTGCAAAAAAACATATTCAATTCGATACAGTCCAGCTTACTTAGGATGAACTGCGCGGGCCGATATAAAATGTCTCTCAACTGTTTAACTTCAAATTAATTTATTGACTCGTTTTGCTACAAAAATAAGGAAAAGCATTTGTTCAGCTTATTTTTAAAAATTTTTAGAATGCTTTTATGATTGTTTACAATATTTATTTAAATTTACTTCTAAAGATCACACTTTAATAGAGGCAATAAAACCCATTTATCCAAGCCTTTCGTTATTGACATGTTCTTCTGTATTTACGCACACTCAATAGGTATATCTATATATACATATGTGCGTGTGTGTGTGTGTGTTTAGATGAGTGTATATCTGTATTCATAGCGCCACACGCTAGTCAAAGCCATTTTGGGTTTTCAATTTCAACGCCATTTTCGCTTCAATGCGTTGAAAGTAATTTGCATTTTATATTTGGTTTTATTGTCCCCAACAAGCGATGAGATGTTGGCAATTTTTACAGCTCATCGCTGCCTGCTCTGCCAGGTTGGAATCGAGAGGTGATAATGCTAATAATAAATTGACTCAATTGCCACAACAATATTGACAACAGCAACAGCAACAGCTAGAGTAGTAAGAGCAACCAGCAACAATTCATTTGCAGCACAAATTTCGAAATTTGAAAAAAACAATTCAAGTCAATTCGCAAATGTTTTGTACTGTCTGCAACTTGCACAGTTACTCTAACAAAAACACACACATATATATATATATATATATATATATATACATATGATTTCACTCTGGGTGCTTGTGTGTGTGTGTATTTTTATGTGATTTTTCCACTCAAGAACTTTTAGAAATGGAAATGGCAATGGAAATGGGCAAAGCTCCCTCAAGCGCAAAAGTGGGAAGCAAAATGTTATGGCATTTATTTACAGTACACAAGGATTCAAGCATTATAGTAATGTGTGTATATATGTATATATATATATATATATGTATATTTATTTATCTACATATGTGATGTATATATGATGCAATTTATTCAATGAAATGTAAATGCGACTCAATTGTAGTTTATTTTGTAGTAATTCTTGATTGCACAATAAGCAAAAGTCATTTAATTTCGATTGTGCTCTCTTATTTACCCCATTTCCCCTTTGCCATTTTCAATTTGCATATTGCTCTAGGCGTCCAGCAACTACACACGAGAACAACAATATGGGATTTGGCATATGTCTGACTTCTAAGCAACAAAAGTCAGTCTTGAGTTCAACATGGAAAGACACTTTGTGCTTTGTGGCTTTTCAACGCTTTTGATAGATGTGCAAAACTTTTGTTTCGACACTGTGCACATGGGAAGGCGCAGCATATACAAATATATTTATATATATATATATATAACATATATATATATATATATTTATACATATGTATATTGGCACTAAATGTCAACCCCTTTAATTCCACATTTATTCGCTGCTCCGATGCCACAGTTTGCTCCCAGACTTTTTTGTTTATCAACGACTTTCAAATTGGAAACCAACTGATATGCCAAACTACGCACGTGGCGCTCCCCGCAACACCCTTTAGTGTTGCCCTTAATGCCCCTTATAGTCAGTTCTTTATACATATGAAGACATGCTGGCATTTTGCGTAGGCAGCTTCTATAGCTAATGCTTGTCACGTTTGGCTCCAACATTTGACAAGGCAAATTCGACATACGAAAAAAGTGCAACAACAACAACAACAACCACAATTGGAAAACGAAAACAAAAGAGATCACACAAAAGGCTGCTGTGATGTGTGTGTGTGTGTTTATGTATATTGACATACCCTAGAGATACCCTGTATTTCATATGGGCTTAATGAATATTAAATTTCTTTCGGCATGCTGATCGTGTGTAGTGCGTAAGTAGCAATGGGTTGACTTACACCCAGCAAATACTCTGTACTAAATAACAGCTGAATTATTCAAACGTTGACCTTACAGCTAATTTGAAACGGGAATAAGTCTGATTAAAGGGGAAGCCCAAGAGTAGGCTATGCATTTTAAGCAGTAAATTTATAATTGCAACCCTAAATAAATAAGATCAATCTTTTGAAACAATTTAATTATTAATACACATATAACCCATTTTTGATTGCTTAGTTCCAGGACATCGCGAATAATACAACCAAAAATCTACACGTTGCTTGAAAAGCAAAAAAAAAAAAAAAGAGCAAATGATTTTCACAGGTGAATTGGAAAGCGCGTAATGTTGTAATGTTTGACTTGCCAGCGGGCACGTGTTTCTCCCCTATCGCACGAACCCAGCCCCCCCCCGCGCTGTCCCCCACACACCTACCTGGCCGTACTTTTAGAAGCACTTTCAGCTATAGCTCACATGTCGCAGCGTGTGAAGTCAAGCAAAACGGCAGCCGGGGCACAGTGGTAGTGGAAAGTCGATGTCGACATTGACGTTGACGCACGTGGCGTATGCGTAACGCGACGCGCCACTTTTGCAAATTGGATGAAAATCTTTGGCTTTTCAGCGCCGCCGTCAAAGGCTACAGCGAAACCTTTCGTGGATGCATTCGCCTGTAAATTGACATGTTTTGATGCTGGCATCCCCTGACTGGGCTGACTTGGCCTCAGAATGCCGGGCCAAGCCAAGTCGAGCCGAGCCCGGCTGCAATTTGTGATCTCAGTTTGTCACAGTTTGCAGCCCTAAACAACATAAATAAAAAGTTACCCCAAGCTCATTCGTCATGCCCACCCATCCACATTAAAAAGGCAACTGGCAACATAAAACTTATGGCAGCACCTACGCACGAGACGCACAGCAGACCACTGAAGGGGGGAGCAGAAGGAGCAGAAGTAGCAGTTAGGTCCGCCGTCCACACAAGTTTTGCCGGGTCCGGCTTTTTACTCCTTTGTGGACTTTTGGATTATGTTGTAAACTTTTCAGTTGCGTTACTCGCATAAGAAATAAAACAAATTCGAGTTTCAAGTTTCAGGCCAAAAATGTTTAAGCCGAAATGCTTAGTTTGTTGAGGCAAGAGTTTGTAGTGTGGGCTCTACCTTAAACAACTACTTGCCATATGCTACAAAAGACCTGGCAAATATATTATACTCACACACACACACACACACACACACACAGACACAAGCACTCCAGCACAGGTCGTCGTCGTCGTTGTAATTCTTGACAGCAGCTGTTTGTCGTTTTTTATGGCCACAAAGAGAAGCAGACACGTTAAAGCATGGTCGAAAGCTTAAAGCGCTTCAGACTGCTAACTGGCCAACTGGGCAGCATCAGATTGCAATTCAACCGAGCTGAGCAAATGATGACACTAAGAAAAAATACTATATTCTTTAAGATATATCAACAGTGGAGTATTTAAGACTTCTAAAAAATTAACAGATTTCCTTTCTTATTATGAAAGTAATTATTAAGTAAGACAAAAATCATTAAATAAGTAGAAAATGCAACTTTGCATAACTATTCATAAATTTCAGATAATTTCTCTGCATTTTCGGATGATTTTAATAAATAATGAATAAGTTATACTAATTAACATAATTATTTGCTAATACTTTTATATTCAAGGCAACTTAAAGATATTGAAGTGTAGCAAAATAAATAAATATTCTCAGTAAGAATTTCTCACTGTGCATCGAAAGTTGATGTTGTTGAAATTCTTCAGAGACTTAACTAAGAAGTAAACTATTTTTCAGATAGTAAGAAAAAGTTCATTATAGCCGAAGGATACTTTTAATGGAGCTTATGTGAAAACTATTAAGCAAA